CATGAAACGATAGACATTCTGCTGTTGTCACACTATGTATCGTCATGTCGCACAACCCTAGTCGACAGTGCTGGTGTAATTACTCTCTCTGCAGAGAAGGGAAATAAAAGTTCCTCAGTGCAATCAGTTTAAATCAGTTTACTCTGCACGCTGGGATGTTAAACTAGTTTTTCTTTTTTCCAGCTTTGATTGAGTACGCTACAGAAATGAACTGGACAACAGAGGTGTAAAACACTCTCCACGGCATGTGTTGTGCAAAAATGCATCAATCACTGAAAAAAAAAGAGCCACTTGGCATGTAAGCAATGTCAGGTATTAGGCTGCCATACGATTAAAGCTAATATGTGCTGCTCTTTGCTCTGAGCGAAGGAAGTGAATTATAAGATCCTCTCTACCTCGCCTCACTCAAGCTCATTCCCCAAAACGTGTCAGTCATGTTGATGAGGTGCCTACCAGACTGAAGCCTACTTTCAGGTAATAACTAGGCCTAAAGCTGCTGCAGGCACCGAAGAGGCAGGCAGTTAATACAGGCAACCTACATTTAAAAGCATAGCTGACATTTACCTTTGTTTTTGAGCCAGTCACGTTAGCTGCTTGTCACCACAGCTCCCGTTAACATGAGAAGAGTGGGGTTTTTATGGTGACATTACCAAATGTAGACTGTGCAATTTATCTGTGTTTGGATGGCACTGCAGCATTTAACATAGTAAGAGCTTAATTTTACACATTGCATGGTCTTATTTTATCCCAGTCGAGTGAACAAAAGATAATTACACTAATTCTGTGAGCGAGACCCACATGATGGAATAAGGCAGATTTACCATCAACAGCTAAAAATCATCCCAAACAACAATCTATAACCCAGAGTGCAACACAAAATGTGACCGCACTTCAACAATTAAAAACCATGATGCTGATCAACAAACCAAGTGGCTCCAAATGCCCAACACACACATGCACATTGTCGACAACACAAGAATATAAATAGCTTGTAGAGCCGAGCTAATGTTCAGGGGAACATAGTGATGCTACTTTTAATTTCAAAAAATGATTATATCATAAATGCAGGATCATCTGAGTGGGTTTCAGAGCATCTCACCATATCGTGTAGTACTTGAGAGTCTCATCATCTAATATGTCCATCATGCATTGTGCAGCATTGTGTCGAATAATTCACATGAGACATTAAGTATTGTTTCCCACAGAGTGTGACTTCAGTGTGGAATCTATCTAACAATCCAGTCCATTATATATATCAGGGACTTAGCAACCATTACTTCCACCATCTTTTGTCGTCTTGTACCACACTTAACTCGTCCCAGGTACCTTGTCTCCATATTTACACTGGTTGTCCAGTTGTCCAGCTGACTCCTGCTAACTGGCCAGGAACGAGCATCGGGCATGTTTCTCGTTGCTTCTGATGTCTTTTGAGAGAATGAAAATATATAGTATATTTTGACATCTACATCTTCATCACCATTTTTTAAAGATATCCCCAGATACCCCGAAGGCTCCCCCCTTCTAGTAGGTACAAAAACAGGTTTTACCTACACAACCAAAGCAATGGCTGCTGGGATTAACATATGTCAATCTAATCTGACATATTTACTACCAGGTTCATTTCAGCCCATAATTTCCCTATTATTTCATATCCAGTCATGTCACACCATGAAACTTCTTGCAGTGTAGAATATGTATTGTAGATAGTTATAACTGTACAATTTGTTTCTCAAAAGCTGCTCTGATCTATAATCAAACAACAAACATGTACAAGTACAGATCTCAATTATAAAACAGTGTTTACATTATTATGGACACATGCAAGAAAGCTTACCATCTGCCTGCAGAGGAGGATAATTGATGAATGGAACAGGGTAAATGGTAAATCAGTGCCGACAGATGCTAAGGATGGATAAGATCTGCTATGATGAATATGTGGTTGTTGATATCTGTGTTATTTAGATATTGTATATTTTAAGTAATTGTGTGGGTCTAGCTGGTGTTTTATGACAAACAAACCCAATTAACATTGCAGTTCACAGCAGCTCCTGAGTCATAGACATTTTGTTATAAAATGTGAAGCACGATTGTAAATAAACAAGTTAAAAGAGGAATTAACATGCGTGCTGTAATGCAGCATGATCTGAAACAGGAAGTAAAACAACACTGTCACCTGCTTTATCTGACAAAAAGAAACATGATATACTTCTGTCATTTCATTTACCTGAGTGATTCAAAAATGATCATAAGAGGCTTTTTTCACCTCTCAGAATATTTGACAGGAAAAGCACAGGTTTCATTAATGAAGCTAATGGTGACTTAATTCCTTTTGGCTGCTTTGATCCGTCTATTGTGCACGCTGGCTCACTGTCACGGCTTATTCTTAATTGAACCGTTGTTAATGCTATTAGCGACACCTGGGCTTCTGCTACTGACAAGTCAAAACGCTGCCTAAAAGAAATCCCCACATTTAGCTCAATTACTAATATATACAAATTATATTGGATACAAGAAATTAATCTGTATTCATATATTAATGTAAATCTAAGATTTTCTGTCACATCTTATTAGCTCCATCGGGGAGGTTGTGTTTTCATTTGTTGGTTAGTTTGTAAAAGAGATTACTTAAAAACTACAGATGAATTACCATGAAACCTGGTGAAAGGATGCAGTGTGGTTCAGGGATTAACCCATTCAATTCTGACGTGGATCCGGATCATGGGGAAACGTTTTTTCATTGCGAGGAGGCATTTAAAAAACAAACATTTGATTTCTCAGAGAATAATACATGGGCCATGAGAGGAATCAGGAACATTTAAGAGACTGATATTTATGTGTGTGCAATTTGTTGAAGCTCCAAATAAAAATCTGAATCCAGAGAATTTAAATGTGGTTTCATACAGGGACTGTGAGTGAAAATCCAGTTCTGATTTATTTTTAAAAGTCTACTGTGAAACAGCAGATTGCAGCCATTACAATAACAAGTTTAAAAATGACTCCTCAACATGGCTCCTAAAAGAATGCATCCACTTTAAGGAAGTAAAAAGGCAGACAAATAGTTTAATAGCAGGTCACTGCAGACTAATTTGCAGTGGATGATTCATTTGCATGAAAACTGTGTGCATGATAGAAACAGAGGGGATTTGTTCTGGTTTGTGTGATCTGCGTAGAGTCCGGATCATTTAGGTGCCTGCACTCCACCAACACATTAACCTGCAAATTAAACTTTCTCACTCTGACAAAATGCTAAAGGGATGGAAAATGAATACCTGGGAGAGAAAAATCTTAGTGAGGGATGACTCTAACAATAACTGGCTGCCAAGGTCCACGCGTTCCTTCCTCATGTGTAATTTTTCACTGGAGCACAACAGTCAATGCAACTGTTGTGCAACAGCATAATTATCCACAGAGAGCAGGAGGTATGTAGTTTAATTTATCATTTGTGCAATTATAAATGCTGCCTTGTATTAATGATGCATGGACATTGTGAACGTGTATTATAATTAACCATTCTTCTCAAAGCAAACAATGCTTATCTATAATTATATCTGTGGCTCCATTACAGTCGGTACGTTCAAACACATTGATACACATTAAAACTACATGCATCAAATTATAGGATATGTTCATTTGCAAAGCTTCATGAATCATCAAACGCCATTATCTGTCCACTGTACGTCCCCCTATTATTTCCATGCTGTTGGTTGATGACTTCATGGGCTGAGGCCTGGGATATTTGCTGCGGTGTGTCATTTACACCACTATCCCATCAATCTGGGTTGTATCACTGGCTAAACTGTAGCACGCCCAACACCTCCATTATTCCATCAACATCCTGTCAGTGTGGACGAGAGTGAAAAGCACAGGCAGCGAGGGACTGTGCAGGAAGGAGACACGCAGATTGAAATGAGAAAACTGTAGCGAAGGCCTCATACGAGATGCAAGAGAGAACTCGAGTGCATCTGGATTGTAAATAGGAGGGAGAGGAAATATGTTGTCAAAGGCTTGCTTCCAGGGAAACAAACATCAAACGAAGGCACCACACTAGGTGACAATGTACCTCCTGGGGGGCGGGATTGAAAGACTTTTAAAAACTGAAAACTTTAATACCTCAGGAGTGACTTGCTTGGTTTTGACAAGAGGTGCCCCGTTTGAAATGGTGCGACATGAAACAGGCAAGAATGTTCCTATTCATGTTCAAGGTTGAAAATTCAGCTGGATCTCTTTACTGACCAAAAATAACTCCCTCTCTGCTGCAATGTTTCCTCTGTCACAGAAATGTATTTCTCCTCTGTGGGTGGATAAGAAGAATCATGTCTGGCTGCATACATCTTGCAGGAATTTGAAACCAGTTTGATAAGCCCTCCCCTGAATTAATGTCCTACATACACACGCCACAGCTCACGTGGATGAGTTAAAAATCTATATGGGTCTACGTACGGCCTTCAAAAGCACAGACTGTCGCTGTGCATGTTCTCACTCTCAAATAATCCAAATCAAGCCCTTTTACAGCATTTGTTGGATTATGAGCGGCAGATTATTTTGCAAAGTAGTTGTCCCCAGGTGTTAAGAACATTCCAATCTTATTCTCCACCCCATGATGCTCAACTGTAGAGATTAGGCTCAATGGAAAATCTCACTGAAAGGAAGACAGTGGGGGGGAGAGGTCCAGACAGGCACAAACACACTGAGCATGAGTAGCCAATCAGCTTTCTGCTTTGCACGGGCATGCTGTCCTCAATGCCTATTGCTATTGCCCCCCCACACCCAGGACCAGTAATACCTGCACGATGAGAGCTACGGAGCTGCCATCTGCAGGCGCACTCAATCCCACCATCTCGAGAGCCGCCGCTGCAAAACACACCGCAGCTCTTTACAGCCACCTGCTGTGCTGCACGTAACACAGCAATCTGCACCAGCTCCAACACTCAATGTCTAGAAGAGCTGTTTGTTAAAGGATATAATCAACATGCATAATCAATGAGATGCTTAATCACATATTGAGCTTGTTAACACTTTATTTTACAAGTAATTTCCACATATTGTTCAACGGAATTGTCCAAAATCGGACAGTTTAGGTTGTTTAGTTGTGTTGAGTTTACACAGTTGATGATTTCCAGAGGTACACTGGGAGAAACCAAACTACATATTCATTCATTATTGATTAAATATTGATCACTCTGTTCTCCATATGTTTGACTGAATGCTTACTGGTAGAAAATTGTGCTCTGATCTGATCTGCTGTGCACTCTAACTCTCTAGGTTCCACTTGATTGGAAATTATTGATTGGAAATGTGCCGTTTAAACCAATAATTAGCACCGCATTACACATAAGTCATCTTGCATATAATTTAGCTATCACCTTCAAAATAATTACAGGAAAACCCAGACTTATAAACTAATTCTTGTACGTTTATCTGCCATAAAATACCAGATTGTGATGTGGTGGAATATACAAGACAAAGTCTTTAACTGTCACAGGACTGAAATTGCATGTACAGAACGTTCATAGTACCGACCACTCTTGTGTATGCATGACAGGTCAAATGTCTTCCAACACACTGAACCGTATTTTATACTTTAGATTTTGTAGTGACTTAATTAAGTATACTAAGGTCAAAGGTCTGGACTTTGCATTTCAGATGCAGACTTTAACACTGCCTTGGAACCGCTGTTTAAATTATAGCATCTTCATTAGTGGCTGAGTGCCTGTCATGAATAATTTGCTTCCAGCAAATCACCCACCCATCTCAAGGAGGAAGAAGCATATCAGAGCGGTTCAGGGGGTGAACGGAGATCCATTCTCAATGCTTTCTTATTAACACCAGGGCACTTTTCTTTTGTGATTATTACTTACTGCATTCAACAATTAGCTGCCTGGTCTCTCTTGTGTGTTTTCATTAGTACAAAAATGCTGCAAACGCACAGCAGTTGATGACTCTACTGCACAGGTAAATGTTGCAGTTGAATATTTGAATAAGTCCTTGATAATAATGTGAATTAGTCTGTCTAGTGAGAAATGTTTTACTCATTTGTGGCACATCGGTTTTATTTGCACATTCAGACATGCAGATCAATCGTCTTCCTTTCAATAGATTTACAGTGCTTTTGTAGAATAGCCCCATTTGCAAGGTTTAGAGAATTATTCTGTTTAAATATATATGTTGGTCTTCTGATAGTAATACAATGATTTTCTGTTTGTATTTGTGGAATTTGAGTAGTTGACATATTTTCCATTTATAATTTAAGATATCTATATATCTACCTCTGCCAATGAGGTTGTATTTGACAAAAACTGTCAGATGAATTGCTGGAATGGTGCATTATGGGTCAGGGAAGAACCCCACTCAGTTTTGATGCAGACCCAGATCTGAGGGCGGATCCAGGATTTTTTAAATAGGGGACTGTTGGGCCTTGGTGGAGGTTTATGCTTTCTGATACCATTCTAGTTTGTTATATCTTTTGCACAGTATTATGCATTATATCATATGCTACAAAGTGCAATTCACCCTGTACTCTGACATATTAAATTCTAAGCATTTGCCTCAGGTTCATAGACTTGCATTTCCAGCGGTACCTCTCCTCAGAGCCTTTAGGTTTTTAGCTTAGGTCGGATTCATCTCTTCAAATCTTTTCAGAGCTCACAGGCTTTTTTCTGTGTAGCCGACTTAATCTCATGATCCAGAAAAAGCCTACATGCATTCCATGTCCCATCATTTTCCTCTCAATTAAGATTCACCACTGCTAATTCACTATGACAATTTTATCACCGAACTGCTGGAATGAAAGATTAGTGTGTGCACACCCCGCCTCTTTAGAGCACAGCAGGGCTTTAAGCAACAACATTTTTAAGGATCTGGGTCTTCACGCTACATGCAAAATAAAAAAAGTCAGACCAAACCTCTGGATTGGGGACGAGTACACTCAAACCAGCACTGCAGCCAGATTTTCTGTGAAACAGTTCAATTTTTTACATTTGATACTTGTAATGAAGTCCACTGGCTCTTGCTGTGTGCAGTTTAACCTCAGGAAAAACAACCGATGGTTTTTGATGAAGGGGAAAACAAAGCAACCAAATTATGTAAAATCTGAACATATGGAATTCATTTACTATTAGTTGTGCAATATCGCTTTGCATCTTTTCCTGCAATGAAACTATAATAATAAGGGGAGCGTCTTCATGACTTCAGTGTGTGACAAATATCTATTCTGGATCAAACCTTCTCTTTCATAATAAGGACAGGTAGGTCGTGGACCTTCATCTAACCAGTTTCTAAGAAATTCCTAGGATCACTGTAGGAAATGATTTACACTTCCTCACCTCGGTAACAAGTAGGATACCTTGTCTGCGTTTGTTTCATTTTCCCAGCATGTGACTGATGAACAACTATTATTTTAATCATTTCGATTTCCACATAAGACACATTCCCCCATTGTAAGATAATAAAGCTGATTTAGTCATACTTGAAAACACAGATGATGATAGTTCTCTGAACAACACAGATCTAAATATAAAGGTTTAATCTGAGCATTAAGAACATGGAGCGTGAAAGATCAGTGAGATTACTCCTCATCAGTGGAGTTCATACAATTGTTAAGACATGTACAGCAGGAATAAAATAAATAAGAACAGTGCAGTGTGGGTTAAAACAGCCATAGAGTCAAGAACAAGTGTCATTGTTTAGTTCAATTAGGAGAGACCTTTCTTAAAAATGTATTTGTTTCCTTTGTTGTTCTTCATTCCCACCAGGTGTCCATTCGACGTACACGTACTCTCTGCTTATAGTGGTATTCTTTCAGGTGCTTTTTCAAAGCATTTGGAATGGGAAGCATATTAATGCCATCGTAGGTGGTACAGCTGCTAATGACCGCTCGACAGATGTGCTGCAGACTGAAGGGCTGTGTGCGGTGGATAGGGTTGGAAAGCAGGGGCTCGAAGAACATGCAAGAGTTGGGGTCCTTGTAGTGCTCCAGCAATCCTGTAACTGTGGAAGCGTGGAAGACACTGGGGTCGTGCACGTCGAAACTAAAATTGTGGTTCCACTGTTCAATGCGTGCATGAAGCGATCGGCCGTAGCGGCGGAAGCTAACCGAGAAGAGGTAGTCCTCCTGGGCAGAGTCCCGCAGTAGGAAAGTGCCCTCGGGCTTTCCCTCCAGCAACGTCTCTGCCTCATAGCGGTCCATGACCCCCCAGTAACATGGGAGGTTGGTAATTTGCAGCAGGTCTGGAACTAAACAGTGAATGTAATCAATCTGAGTGTGAATGCGGTAGCCATCTTGAGATTGTTGATGTTCAGTCTGAGGAAGTATGGCTTTGGAGGGCATGTTGGTCACTGTAACCTCTGGTTCAACCACAGGGTCAGAGATGGTATCGCTGGTGTGGACAGAGGCCGATGCTGAGGCCGAGGCCACCACCTCATCCAGAGTGTCCAAACAACTCTGAAGCAGGAGCTGGTGCTGCTGCTGTCTTTGGAGAAGAAGCTGCTGTTGCTGTTGAGCAGAGGCTCTGTCAGCCCCTGCTAACTCATTCATACCGTGAGCAAGCTTAGGGCCATGCTTGTAGAGAGGGTTAATTTGGGCCGTCACCTCAAATGTGTGGATCTCTGCATTGGGGGGTGGCTCAACACCTTGCTCAATGCTAATTCGCCTGCGCTCTCTCAACCTATCGTCTACATCCTCCACCACAGTAGGCATGGCTGAAGGTGGGGCACTGCACACGACTGCAGAATCCAGCACGGGAGGCTGGGTAATGGGGGCTGTGTGCTGCTTAATGAGATACCACTTCTGAGCCAGCTCAGACCCTGCAGGGAAAGGGCAGTCATCCAACATCAACTCACTGAGATGGATCTTACGCCTTGAGGAGACGCAGGCGGCTGATGATGACAGAGCCTGTGGAGCTGGTGCTGCTGCACTGTGCGTCTTTATTGGGAAACACTGCCCCATTGCATCTTGGATTTTTTGCCGGAGAGTGCGACTGCTGCTCGACCCTCTGCTGTCACCTTCATTTGACGCAGGCAGCTCACTGACAGAGCCGACTGTTTCCAGTCCAGGCCTGGCTGCTATACATTCTTGTCCTAGTGAAGAGGCGGTGACGTCCAAACCTGGCCATCTCCAGCTCTCCCTCAGGGAACAGGAAGATTGGTCACTGCTCTCCAGATCACTTAACAGCTCACCATACTCGAAGCCATCACTGACAGGTCGCTCAGCTGCTGATTCATGGCAGGAAAGGCCCTTTTTCTTTGCCTTTCCACCTTTCCGACCTGTATCCCGTCTTTCCTCTGACCGGCTCTGTCTCACCTTGGGACGAGCCCCCCTCTCTCGATCCTTCCCTCGGTTCCCTGATTCATTTGGTAGTGACATGATGGATTATGGGGTGAAATGGCAACTGTTGCGCCGCTCCAGGGAGTTGCCAAGCGATGACTTATTAGCAAAAAGTTTCCCATCCACTTCCCTGGTCTGAGATGCCATTATCGTTGTCCATGCATTGTGGACCTACAGACTAACCTGCAAAACAAAATGAGAGTGCTGCTTAAAGCCTGCAGGTTTTGTTTTTTTCCCAAAATAATTATATCGTTAAAACTGTTTGAGAGAGATGTTAATTTAAGACACGTACTTGATGATCCTTTTTCATATGTTTATATTTGATTTTATTTGAAAGCTGTATGGATAGTGGTTATTACAATACACATACTCAACAAGTCATGTGACCAACCATGTTTATCTAACTTGATCCATCAAGATGGAACCTCATGTGGTGTAATTGTATTAAGTGAGAGAACATGCTTTTACTGGATTTGAAAGATTCTATGTCTCCCAATCATATTATTAGTATAACACTATTGGACATGATTTTAAAAGGAATATGAATGTGGGAGTGGAAAACAGCCCAACAACTAATTGAGGAAACTGGTTTGGTTTGTAATTTCTTTTCAATAGTTGAGGTAATATGCGTTATCTACAGATGATTAGGTTGAACTGTGTTAGTGGTCAACACAACACAATTTGCTATAAATGAGGCAAGTTTGGAGCTCTTGCTGTTGACTGGTGTCTTAATTATGGAACAGCCATGCATGCTGTTTGCTTTTTCTGTCAAATTGAGCAGGTTGCACAAGGAGCTTTTCTGGTCAACCACCTGTTGTCTGGGACCTTTATTCCCCTACCTTTACTCAGCTTTTGAAGGAAAGCATGTCAAACCATTTCAATTACATGCAAGTTTATTCAGTGATTCATGTAAAATGGACTGTGTAAACTAAAACGCTGCATAGTCAAATTGTCTCGGCAATAAATTACCTCATATAAGACATGCTCTTAATCCACCCTGGCCTTCATATAATTATCATGGCAACAGGGTCATTTAAAGGTACAGTGTGTAGAATTTTGTGATATCTAGTGTTGATGTTGCAGCTGAACACCCCTCACCTCCCCCTCTCCTTCCAAACATGAAAAAGAACCTGTGGTAGCCTTTAATTGTCATAAAAACGCAAAAGGTGTTTAGTTAGTCCAGTCATGACTAATGTAAAACACATGGCGGCCTCTGTAGAGAGGGTCCCCTCGATGTAAATACAAAGTATTTCAATATAAAGGGTATTTTCTGGGGTAAAGAAAACTACAATTCATACAATTTAGATGAAACGAACTAGTAAAGACATCATGACGATTATTCTACATTAAATTTCTGTCATTAGTTCCCTTTCACCTAAATCTTACACACTGGACCTTGAAGTGTTCAACACTAGAAACATATATTGAAAAAGAATGTACTATGGATTGCAATTCTCCCCATGAATGGTGGCAAACTAGTTCTCCCTTAGAGAAATCCCTTATAACAACGTTCTTTTTTAGAAATTGTCAAAAGTTTAGTAAAAGAAAAGTTCATGGTGCAGAGAACTTCAAAAGTCTGTTTCCACTTCTGTGGTTTTTGTGGACATGACAAATCTGTGACTAACATCTGGAGTTTGTTCCTGAAGGCTGAATCATAAACAACACAGAAAAATCACCAGAGAACATGACATCACTGTTATGGATTAGAGATCATTGTCTCGATCCTGTGGCTTCTCAACTTTAGGAGGAAGTTTATATTAGCTCTGAGGTTTAAATTACTTACATCCATTGTTATTCTCTAAACCACAGTAAATTCTACCTTTGAAAAAACTATGCCTCTGACAGAGGGTCAGAAACACAGAAGTTACAGTTACAACAAATAAGAAGCTCCATCTCTAAGTAACATGAACTGTGAGGCTGTTTATTTCCTGGAGCATGTTTAGAGCAGTTCCCCATGTAGAGTTACGTAGAATCTGTAATTTTATACACTGACAAAAGAAAATAGCCCGCTACGGCAGCTAGCTTTGTGATGTAAAAAGTTAGGTAGATAAGAACTGAAGCTATTTTAAAAGTCAAACCCTTTTTGACTGTGAAAAGACTTCGATGTCTGTATAAGCAGAGAGTTTAAAAGGTTTAGTAAGGATCCTGGTCAAAGAGATGACGCTCTGTCCTCTCACCAATCTCACAATCTAGAGATAGTGGAGCGTCATTAAAAGTAAATACTTTCAACCATTTCCACTACTCTTTAAGGTGGCTGGAGTTAAATCCTAACTGAACGCAGATGTCAGGTTGTTCAGAAACACACGCGACTCATAAACATATTTACAGCAGAACACAGAGAGCGACAACACTGGCGTTAGCGTCGTTAGCAAGCAGCTGTGGGCGGCGGGCGAGCTAAGTTAACTAGCCACATGCTAACTTGGATACTTTTGCTCTGTAGGGAGGAAACGTCGCGTTGTACTTACAGCTACTCCAGTCGAGCTTCATCAACGACGTCGACTGAGAACATCCCGTCGCGGCCGGTGTCAAAGTTTGCGGACGAAAGAGCTTTTTGTTTCTTCTTGGACGAACTAATGACGCTAACAAGGCGGCTAGCTCAGGTTAGCTTGATAAATGCACTGCTACCGAGCCTGCGGTGCGACCCGGATGTATAAAAGTAATGGGGGAGGGAATGAAGAGATGAGAGGAATAGAAACGTGTGAATAAAGTAAGTAAACAGCGACAAAGCAGAAGTGAAGTTGCAAAAGAACTGAACCTCTTTATTTGGACTGTCATCGATCAGACGGATGCTGCACTTCAGACCATTCACACACGTGAGAGACAGTAAAAAAGTAGAGTGTTAAGCATGGGATGCAAAAGGTTTCATAAAATATTAGAAAATGTCCAGGGGGAGTCATCAGAATTAAATATAAATTGTACAAGACAAATATAAGCAATGGAGCCACAGTTCAGTTTAGTTCAATTATTATTATTATTATTGTGTTTAAGCCTGGCAGGGACATTAAAGGTTCACTGTGTAGAATTTAGTGACATTTAGTGGTGAGGTTGCATGTTGCAGCTGAATTCCCCTCACCCTCAAAAGGTGTTCAGTTTGGACGACTGTAAAAAACAAAACATGGCGGCCTCCGTAGAGAGGACCCGCTCCCGATTTAAATACAAAGTATTTAACTAAAAAGAGCCCATTCTAGGGTGAAGGAAACAATTTGTACAATTTAATTGAAACACACTAGTGAAAAAATCGCTTGGATTATTTTATATTCAATTCTGCCAATAGATCCCTTTCACTTAAATCTTACACACTGAACCTTTAACAACATGATCTGTGGGTAGAAGTCTCCAGGACGCTGTACCACCATGTGGCTGCTTTGTATGTGAAAATACACCAAGCTGAACTCTTGAAGTGCACCCCCCCTCCCCTAACCAATCGCACGCCCCACTGGAATGTAAACATGGAGTAAACATATTCCTTGGCCTGTTATTAGTGTTCAGTTTACTCATAATCACATCGTCGGTGGCTCAGATAAGCATCGTCATCCCCTGCTGCATCTTCATTATGTGCAGACGCTTGCAGAAATCTGCTGCATGGTACCTCTGTCTATTTTCAGTAATGCGTAGACCGCCCAAAACTTCAGAGGCCACGATAAGGATGATCTGAGCGACTTAACGCAACACAGTTGATATACAGTATAGTGAATAGTTAAAAATAAAAATAAGATCTTAAAGTTGTCAGCATTGCACTCGCTGAAGTCCTCTTTGGGCATGAGTGCGAAGCTTTTAGTAAGTCAGATCTATCCAAGAGCCTGCTCTGAAGAACTTCATGACTAGACTACTACTCAAGACCATTTTATCAACTTGTTGAGGATAATGGACCTGTGCATTTCAGGCACCACATGAACAGTTTTAAGAGGACATGACAGCGAACAGCTCAGTCACAAGGTCAGGAAAGGTCATTCTCTCTCATCACTGCATGACCAGAAAAGCAGGTGTTACATGCCCCGTAAGGTTATCACTTGAAAAATCAACAGACTCAGATGGAGTCCATGGATTAGTGGGTAGAAGGGCTTTTGTTTTCAGGCTCTACCCAGCCAGCTCCTGTGCGAGAAGGCTTCAGTTCTTTAATGCGTTACATAGTGAGACAATGGAGTATTCATGACATCACTCAACATGAATCGGGCATTATCCCAGAGAGATGTAAACAGTGACATTTAGGCGATATAAACATACAACATAAGTTGCAAGATTTCTTGCTCTCTAGCTGTTGGTGACACTGGGCGCCATCAACCACCATGTCCTCTATCTACAACAGTGCTGTATTAGTGTGGCAAAACATGCGATTATAGAAAATAAGCATAAGTTATCAATATCACGGGAGAGTAAAAAATACATTTGGAAAAGATATCTGTAAATAACCTTTTTTTCACTAGACCGACCTTCTATGGCTCTGCTGAAATAAAAATGTGAATGGTTATCCCTGCCTTATGATGTAACCAAAAGTGATCCAAAAGTTAAGACCATATTACACATACATGCACCTCCGCTCTGCCACATTCAAAGACAGAGGCTGTATAAGACTGTTTTTGATTCAACACTGATACCACATGATAATGTTTGGGTTCTGAGACTGAAACACAGAGACACAAACAGAAAATATGGACATCGTCAAGCACCTTGAAAAGTATGATTCATCAAATCATCACGTTGGCCGTTTGAGGAAGAGGGCACTGTGAGGGTGAGGGCGCTGTGCTCCAGAGCATTTATTACAGGATCAAGCTTCATTTTCCAAAGCCAATCATAAAGAGGCCAGAGGTTTGAAATGGGTTTCATTTAGTTTTCTCACCGTTTGAGTGCAGATTGAAAACACTCTCCCCTCCTTCCCTTTATCAATTCAATATCAGATCAGCTCTCTGCACAGTACAAACCACACCGGCCCTTATTCACCGCTCTGGGATTCCTCGGCACAAAATGAGATTCATCATCATTTACGTAGCAGGGCATAAAATGACAGAGACAAATTGCAGCTGGCATTAAGTCTTCAAACTGCTGTTCTTTTTTTTTTTTTACAAAATTATACCGTTCTGTTGCACTTCACTACAAAGATCCTTTTCAAATTAACCATCGCACAACCTTTCTCTTTGGCTTTGTAGAAGTTTGGAGGAGGACAGTCACTTCTACTTTGACTAAGTGTTCAGGGAAAATGACCAAAACAACAGGTATGCCGACAGTTGAATTACAAGCTTTTGTCTCGATCCTTTTGGTCCTCAGTTTCTTGCCTTAGCAAAAAACAACTTCTCTAGAGAGGAGGAAAGGAGCCAAGAAATGAATTTAAGTTTCAACCAACACAAGCTCTCACTAGCACTGGTTACAGAGCAGTTAAGGTGGCTAGGAAGTGTATTGGTGTCTGTATATCAACACCTGTCCACCAGTTAAGTGAATTCTTGGGCCAATTCCAGTTTGGTGCCTAATATCACAGATAATTTAATAAAAGTGCCTTGTTTCTGGCTAGACTTTGTCTGATTTACACATTATGCAGTGTGATCTGGATAGAAACCCTTGCTCCACGGCAGGAGGAAAAGAAAAGTAACTCTTAGGGCAGAAACCCTTTAAGACAGCACCAATCGACCGCTTTTCTCTCAGACCGTGGCAAACTGACCCTCTGCACGTCATGTCACAGTCCTGCAAGTGACACGGAGCAGATTGCACAGTTAACCTTTGTTTTCTCTGTCCTGCAATATAATAATCATCTGTATTCCATTTTTAATAAACTTAGTTGTATATAATAAAGTACAAAAATATTAGAGAACATATACACAGTTTTTTGTCATTTTGTAGTGACTGCTTTGCCTGGTTTTCTTAAGCATACGTATATCTTTGTGCTGGGTGATGAGGAACTGAACAGGCCTCAGATGAAGTGTATTTTTCCTTCTCTTCATATTGTTGATGTCCGGTCTGTTCCATCTGCGGAGGAGATTCAAAAGAAATTATTTTCAGGACATTCACAATCATGAAATATACAGCAACGCTCACATTTTATCCTTCAAGAGGAAGTGCAGTTTCTTTTCCTCCTGTCCCACAGACAGACAAAGTTATTGATGCCTTCTTATGTGTCCATTAATCTTCACCTTCATTGCCTTTCATAAATTTTTATGGTGCCTGCCATTGAACTTAACATATCTTATATTTATTAGATACATCACTGGATGAGTAGCAGCTCCTTCCACAACCTGAAAAAAACACACTTCACTTCCTCCAAAATAGGAATTTTTCCTCATCTGTCATGGCTGTACAGTGTTTCACATTAATTATCTCGACGGTGGCAGCCCACCATACTCTCATTTGACCCGCCACAGTTTCATGATGATCTGAATTTCTTTTAAACACTTTTCATAATAACTTAATCGTAGAGCCGTGTGCGGTTCTCTTTGCTGTGCTGCCACACTTGCTCTCTCTCTTTTACTGACTGTGTCAATGGCCCATCAAATCATCCACTCAGTCTTTACAGTCCTCCGCAGGCAGTCAGAATTCTGCATGACACCAGTAAATGCCACTCTCACATGCTGCCACAACAAGTGTTCTGCAGGTTGGCATACTTGCCCTTTCTGTGCATCGCACACAGAGGATGCAACTTTACAGGGAATCATTACAATCATAATAAAGACCTCTGTCTTATTTAAGCCTTCATCATTTTATCCTGTCGCCCTCTGCAGTTGAGCTGGATAAGGGCCTGGTCACTACTTGAGGACATACAGCAACCAGCTGGACTTGAATTATTAGTTTGCTGGTGCTTCTGGAAAACACTGCTGTGTATTTAAACCTATGTGACATATCATTTCTTTGCTAACAATCTATATAATGAAACAAACTGAAAGTCTAAATACTCGATTAAATTCAACAACAATCTGTGGATATATGACAATGTGTATTTACATTTTGAATTTGATTTCAGACAGTAAGGCCAACCAGACTAAACTCACACTTAAACATGCGCTGCTGTTTTAAAGTTTGAGCACATCTCAGTTTTCCAGGTCTTCTGTAAATTTACACTTGCCATCATTTCTTTTAAGATTTTAAAAACTTGTTAAACTCAAACACCGCCTTTGGCCTCAGTTAATGCTCCACCCTGCCATTAGTGCTGTTTATTTCTGTCCTGTTTATTTTCTTGTTTTTGCCCCTAGTGACATATGTTAAGCATCCTTGGGTCTTTTCAAAGGCACTATATAAAGTCAAGTTATTATTATTATTACTCAATTTCATCCATTTTTTGACTCATCCAGCAGTAGAACACACTCTTTCTATAATGGAAATTAAGAAATGTTCAGAAAAAAGCCCAAAGCCTTTTGCAGAGGGTGTAGGAACTAAAAGGTTTCACTTATTTCCATTGCTACAGTGAGGATAACTAAATAAATGAATCCCCATAAAAGGCCCATTTTCTATCAAATGAAAATAACTTTCAGTGTTTGGTGACCTACCTTTACCATTTACTTTTGTACCATTTAATGTAATTCACTGGATTTACGTTCTAAAACTTTTGACCGGTAGAGTACTTGACTGTACACATGGACACAATAAAACATCAATAACCTTAACTGTCTCTGGGAAAAGAAGAAAAATAGTTCTCTCTCCACAAGAGGAACCTGGCAGCCGAATAATCTTGTATAAATAAGATGTTATTTAATATTAATACGCAAAACTAATGATATGAATTATAAAAGTCAACAGTATGCATAAGGGAAGTTGTGCGTGAACTATTTGGTATATATAACTTTCCGTGAAGGACAGTGTATTAATAAAATCCTTCCTCACATTGCCGAGATATAACACATAATAAGGTGTTGTTGTTGTTGTGTAGTTGATAGTTGAGTGAGGTTTACTAGCCAGTGGCATATTTAGTACCAGGCTGCCTAGCACACTTACCCCCTAAGGCATGCTCTGTCATACTGAGGCACAATGACTCCAGCGTGGGGTTGATCTCCAGGTCAGCACCTGGAACTTGGCATTCTGGGGAAATGAGTGAAAACATTTTAGTCAAAAGAAAGATTAAGGTTGATATTACATCACATATCGCTATAAGGTCTGCATTTTTACACCTTTACAATACAGCCTATATTATAAAGAACCTTTTAGCCCTGTTTATCTTTGTTTTGATTTATATAAAATGATTGAAAGTTGATTTAGTTTTAAACTATTTCATCTCCTGATAACTTGGGTTGCAAGAATTTAATGGCATCAGCTCTACATCCACAAAAATCACAGCCCAAAACAAGTAAGAAGTGCATATTCCTGTAAGTGTATCAGCAATAAAATTTCTTTCAGCTACGCCAATTCCATGCTATCATTTATGCCGACCAAACAATGTCAGGCACACCCGTTAATCTATATTATATTGTTACTCATTGCGTTTTTGTCCAACAATCATAAATACACTGACATTGGAACAGACTACCCCCATATAACTACTACTGAAACATGACATTAACATCAGCGACTTGACAATTTGATTCAATTGAAGCCAAAGCTAAGAAAATAACAGGACAATCATTTTCACTGACAAGAAAACATCAAGTTCAAATGTAGATTATCTGTACATACAAGTGGGTAAGACCCTTTCATCTCTGAAATCCTTTCTCTCAGTTCTATGGCAACAGTCTAGTGTATATTTGTCTGGAATATGACACAGCTGACATTTCACTTGCTTACAAATCACAATGTGACCACTCAAGACATATTCTGTTGTCAAGCGTAAAGCTAAATCTGTCTCAAGTGGACTCAGACATGGTACGTAATAGCAGTCTGAGAAGGGATAGAGTGTGAATAAGCTTGAAACTGAAAGCACAGGACACAGACCAGTGATGACCATTTGGGTGTTGAGTTTGACCTTTGACTGATCTTTATATTCAGCTGCAAGTCTGTGCAGTGATGTGAGGAGTGATGCCTTGACACTTTTAAATTGGTTTCTTTTGAGTGCCCACAGGAATAGACTGTAAAACTCAATTCTTTTGTTGTATGCGGTCTCTCAACATGTACATGTTTGATTCATTTTAATACAATATGTTACAATGAACCTAGAATACATAAGACACTCCTCATCTGTAAAAGAAGATATTTGTGGTCATGGTCTTCCGAAGGGTTCATTTTGAGAATTAATAAACATATTTAACAGTAATATTTATACTATGGATTCTTTAAAACCGAGATAATCTTTTAAATTAGGCTGATATTGCCATATTATCTTTTTAAAAATAATATGAACTAAATGTTGTCCCTTTAAAAGATTGGAATTTATAACAATGTGGGGCTGGTCAGTTAAATTTGTGGCTTTAAAATCCATTGAAAACATGATTATATAAAAACTGTCACACATATAAATGTGTGGAACCTGACACATGAAACAAAGCAACCACAATTATTATTATGTATATTGTATGAGGTGACTGATTGTTTACTGCAGCATTATATCAAGTTATTTGGTCATTTTCACAGATAGACAGTTTCCCAAAAAGACGTGAATCTAATAATCTAATGTTTGATCAAACTTTTCTAGTTTAGCTCTAAGTGATAATATTAACCTGAAAATAAAAGGACCTCTAGATAAGTGAAGTGTCTGTTTTTCTTCTGTGGTGAAATGTAAACAGGAGATTGTGGAAGGTAAGACTTACAGAGTATATGAAAATGAAAAGACAGTCAGGCACAGACTGTGGGTTAGAGCATTCACACACATTAATGCAGAATAAAAAAGGCCTGCCATCACACAGTACCTTGCTGCTGGAACATGAGCATGGTTTGTGGGGAAGTGTGGACAGGGAGTGAGTGGGTCCGCTGCACAGTGCTGCGACTCTGACTTGGCATGCTGTTACTGCCCCCAGGGTTGGCAAACCACAGGTTCTGTAGAGGAAAACACAAGTTCTTGTTGCATAAACCCACTCACTCTGGGAGGTAGACGTGAATGGTTTATCTTTCAGCTAAATCATTAAATAAAACTATTCAAGCCAAGATGATGATGAATCAATTTAAATCGACATATAATGCCTAACCCCTGCTGTCTTGTGTGTACTGATTAAAAAAACAATGCCTGTTGTTCTTTAATTTCTTTTCTTTTTAGAGTAAATATTTACCACGGTGTATTGTGTGGGTTAATACCCCAGGTATAGGAAAAAGAGAAACTACAAATATGGAGTCAGGTTGAGTAACTGCAATCAGCTTATGTGTTTTCAATCAACTTTCAAAAATAATGAACCTGACTTGACTGATAAATCTATTTTGTCCACAACATAAGGCAAGTTTTATGTCCAAACCTTGTATTAAAAATGCCCATCCAATGGCAGTAATACTAACTTGTCTACCCTGGCCTGCCAGCACAGGATTAGTGAGCGTGTGGCGTGGAGATGCTCCGCCAATCCCACCAGGACTCAGAAGACTTATGCGACTGGCTGGGAGTCCACGAGGGGTCATTTGGAACTGCCTTTGCCCTCGTCGCCCTACACCTCCACTCACAGAGCCGGCTGTGGGGAGGGAGTTGGACCCATACGTCCAGCTGGAGTAAAAAACAAAGACAATATCCACCAGAAGTCTGTGAGTGAAGAAAACTGCAAAGGTTGTTATTTGAAAATGAAAGGCAAAGAGTTGAGTGTAAAGAGAGTATCAAATCCAGCTGGTGTGACCTAACTGTTAAAGATGGAGATCAAAGATAAGAGAAAGTCTCACCCTTTCTGTCGGTACACAGGCATGTCCAGCATAGCTTTCCGAGGGAAGAGGCGGAGCAATTTGAGGACCTGCTGCTTCCAAGAGACCAGCCTCTTCTTGTGAGTTTCTGTAAAAGCCTGACAGAATATAGAGACAGCAGAAGAAAAAAGGCATCAAATATTGAAAGTTACAGGAGATGCTTCTGAAATTTGCATGTTTTCTTTAAGGAAAATGTAAGTTTCATTCTTCATTTCAAGAAAAAAACCCATAAAACAATAGATTATTCTCTGTCACTAACAATTTATTTACATTTGCCCATGTGATTATTTCAGGTATATACTTTTGGTACAGTGAGATATTTAACACGCTATGTACAAAACACTTTAACATGTTCAGCAAATGAAAAATAAACTTCATGCGCAGTTTCTCACCTCATGTGTTAGACACTTCTCGATGAGCTGAAGGTAACAGCTGATATTCTCCTCATCTGGCCTGGACACCAGCAGCTGGGTGCACACTGAAAAAAACAGGATTTAGATATTCATGTTCACAGAGTCTTATTTTGAATTAGGAATGTGAAAAAGAAAAAGAACAACATCACATTCTTACCTTTGCCCATGACACGGGTGAACTGTCCAGCAATGTCGCCGTCTGAGATGGGTGTGGCTGAGGAGTCTCCATCGCAAGGGGGTGGGTTGTGGGTCTGGAAGCCCTCTGAGACTGGCTCTTTATCTGCTCCTGTTTTTGAGGCTTCTGAAGGGGAGGAGGCGGTTTCTAAAGTAGGCTGTGCTGCACAGGGTGGGATGTAGGCCTTGATGGGTGTGGTGACGATCTGCTGCAGCTCCTGAAGGGCATTGCGGAGGTTTCCCCCCTCCAAAATATCCTGACAAGAGATGAAACATCAGTCTCACAAGCTGTGTAAGCTTTAAGTTCAAGGATGATGTTGTAAGTAGAGAGTAACACATCCAAGCTGTAAATCTGGATTAAAGCTTTAAGAGGCAACATTGCTCCACAGAACTATCCTAGAGGAAGTCACTGCATCTTTACCAGCTCCACTCTGACTGCTTCGGTGCCAACAGAAGAATGGGGATTTCCCAATGGAAAAGTCACATGATCATCAATGAGTACATATATTTTTATCAACACAAACAATATACTGTTGTCTACTTCTCTAGAATCACAAGTACAACATGCCATTTGAATTACCTTTTCTAAGGACTTGAGCACACTCTGCCTCTCTCGCAGTTTCTGGATACTCAAGGCAATCTTATGCCGTGCTCCTTTAGTGACATTCTAATAGGAGACAGAAAATAACAAGATGGCACGAGAAGCAGGCAAGTTTATTCTTGTGTGAAAACACTGGGCAATTTATACAGTTACTAAATAACGAAGCTAATCACCATCTGTTCCATTAAAGCCAAGGGGCAGAGGCAAAATCACACCATTTATATGTGTGACTGGCTTGATATAACTGTAGGGTGCTTTGCTTAATTTCATGCCTCATTGAGAGTTGATGTATCATCAGGTTTGAGGACAGTAATGTTCACAGCTGATAAGGGGGGTGGAATAACCAAAGCTCTGCCCTTGTGTATGTAAAAGGGTGGTTTACAAACCTGTGACTCAAGGTGCTGCTCTGTGAGAATCATCATCTCCTCATAGGTCATCTGGGAGAAAAGCGATGCATATTTATGAAGGCGGAGACTTTTCAGCCACGCCGGAACATCTACAGCAAACACACACAAAGTAATGTTAAATTTTGGATTATATCACCACAGCTGTTAGCTCTGCACGGCTTTTAGCAGAGCCAAATGATATGAGTGTCCTTGGCTCAGGTAGGTAATGAACTTTGACCTTTCATGCCACTGCCGTCCTCCTGGAAAGTGTTGCGAGCGGAGCCCTGTTCTTCAGTCTGTTCACTGCCTGAGGACGCGACGCTGCTTTGGGGTGAGAGAGGTGCATGATCTGTCGGAATAAAGTTCTGTCGCCCTCCTATGTCATCCTGACTAACCCACTCAGAGCCACAAGCCTGGGGACTGGAAGGAATTACGGACATGGACTTCTTCAGAGGGCTGGGCTGCATCTGCCCACCCAGACCTGGCAAGGGAAACAATCCAGTTATGAGGATAATGAAAAAAGTTCTAAAAGTTCTATTGTTGGTACCTAGACAACATTCTGGGACATTTAATAAATGCCCCCCGTTATGCATAATATGGGTAATAAAATTTGTCGTCACTGGTCCCATATATACACTAATACCAAGTTCATCAATCTCTGTGCTTTTTCCCCAGATTTGTAAAAGCAAAAGATGAATGAGAAGCATTACCTGTGTTATTGCTGTTGATGGGAGAGGACATCCCGCCTGGGAATGGCATGTGTCCGTTCTGGCCTGCAGGAGATGTGCTTGATGATGAGGATTTGTCGTGCCAAGCAAGGCCAGGGTCCAGAGCCTCAGCAGAGCTGGGCCACTCATCTGAGCCCTGGCGTGGGTGGTAGGGACTGGATGGAGGCCGAGGTGCATAGCCACTTGATAGGTGTTCCTCCAGGTGGTTTAGCCACATGGCCAGAGAGGTACGGTCATCCAGTGTGGTCGCAGGGTGGATAAGAGCATAGGAAAGCAGCTGTCTGCTTTCTTCCACAAACAGGCTACTCTCAATGGTGTGACTCAACACCTTCTGCAGCAGCTTCATGTACTCACATTTGGCCTCACTGTTGCGTGGCTGCAGCAGAGGCAGATGAGACAGCAGCAAGGAAACCACTTTCTCTTTCGGTTCCTGATGCCACTGGCTGACAATCGCTAATAACAAAGGGAAAATCATCAATTAATCTTTTATTACTGATTAGCCTTCTGAAGAAAAGCCATCTATTTGAGAAAATTCACACCAACCAACAGCACATGATAAAAAAACACTCATCAAACTATTAGCTACCTGCATTGTTGGCCTCAGCTTCAAGGATGTGGATCTCTGTGCAGTCTGCCAGCCAGTGTTCAAGGCAGATGTGTAAGAAGCGAGCCTGGGTGCGGGACACCCTCTTCAAGAGGGACAACAGTGCCACCGTCTGTTCACACTCATTCCAGCCTTTAAACCAATCTGTGAGGATACCTACTTGGTCTCGGAACATCATGGCGTGTCTCCTCAGTAAGGAGAACAGGAATGTGTGGGTGGGGAGGGGGCTACTGCAAAGACTGCTCTCTCAAACACAGACAGGATCAGTCTCGCCCCGCACAGCGGGGTCGTGCTTGCAACAGTCCTGGGATCCCCTCAGATTGGACCGAGGGGCCCTCACATGGTTCAGGTGCAGAAAGAACTGTAGACAGGTGAATTCACAGACCGTGTGAATTACTGGGACGTTGTCTTATGAAGGGAAACTGAAAGCGTGTCAATTGTCACTTTTAATGACCCAAACTGGAAAAGTCTTCTTTCACTCTTCTATGTTCAGGATCACATCATCCATACCCTATTAAATCAACAGAAAAGAGAAAACTTACAAACGACAAAAAATAAGCAAACTTTAAAATCTTAATCAGCCACAATTTCAAACTAATTCAGCTTTTCTAATGTAAGTGATGAATGCTTCGACAGATTAAGCTGATCCATACCAGTGATTAAGTATTGGAATTTGCTCTTCCTGACCTACAACAGTTTTGTTGATGTAAACACACTTTTCGGCCTTAAAGCCGCAAAGGTCTTGCGATTTTGTTTGAGGATTTAGACAGATCATTGGCTTCAGTAAGTGAAAAGCTGGACTTACAGTTATCTGTATGAAGGTAAGTGGAAAATAAATTAACAGGATATTATAGCACACAGCCAAAATGAAATGAACAGACTGCTATAACCAGTCATATAAAAATTGGAACATAACATCAAACTAGGTTTTTATAATCTGCCCATTGTTGTACATCTACGTTTACAATACAACGTCCAAGGTAATGTAAGGATATGTGAGGTAAGAGGTGACTGATTAAATGTATAACTTCCCAAAGACTCTTACCAGTGTTGCTCCGGCTGCTTCAATCATAATATGTGATCATAAAAGGTGTGTTATAAAAAGATTAGAGTCCAGGCCACCGACACTAGCAATGCTTATCTCATAGCATTAAAATAGGCTGCACACCAAAAACCAAGGGCAGTCATTGGAGCCCTACATTTACAACAGGTCATTGTTATGAAGTTTATCAGGCAACGTAACATGTCAAAACTACAACCACCAGCACTGCAAATGGTGACACCTGTAACATTACGAGCTAAGCTTCTGATTAACAGCAAACACGAGTGTCTGGCTACGAGATCCCTTTTGTTATGATCCCTGTGGGGTTTATTAACTTCACACAGGCTAACAATACACCCGGCAGCATAGCATTAGTTAGCCGTTAGCCACATTTAGCACGATCGGCCTAGTCAATGATGAGGGATTCGGGATTTGTATTGTTTTTCGTGGAAGCTGTTGCTGCCCCTTTTCTCCGCCTCGGACTTCAAGCTTAGCGGCACAAACAGGGACGTCCAACCGCGGTTTAAATCGACACCATGTTGCAGCTCGTTAACCACACAAAGTTGTAGGAATGGCGAGTTACAATGAAAGCAGGCGAAAGGGTTTGTTGTTTACCTTTGTCAGTTGTCACTGGTTAGCGAGCTAGGCTAAAGTGCTAACGCTCAGCTCGCTCGACGATAGGGCAGGGATGGCTAAGTGCTAGCGCTAGCTCCTCTGCTAGCGAGTTTTTGCTAATAGATGCAATAACGTTAGCTCAGCGGAAAGAAGCGTAGATTGATCCCAGACGCGCTGCTCCTCACGGGGATTCGTTCACAGCGGCGGGCCCCCGCGGCTCTAAACACACCATGCTGAAGAACACACGTAGAAAAATGTTTATTGCAATACAGAACATAAAGAGTGAACGCCTGGAGAAATCTACTTCGATTTTAAGTTGACGTAAGACGTGGGCACGACGTCATACGTCTGGAGGGTACGTCATGTTGTGTCCCGCCCACAGTCCGGAAAATAAAAAGCTTAATTTAGGCGGTGACAGATAAACACGTGTCTTTCTCTAGTAGAACAGACACTATGGGTATTTTCATTTCAATAAACGTTTCATTCTTTTCTATTTTGAACATGTAAATAAACAAAGAGAAATTAAACAAACAAGTGAAAAAAAACTGAAAACAAGTATTATTTACAATCTGAGCAAAAAAAAACAAACGCTTAATGATTTAATCTATATATTGGAAAAGGAGAGAGAACAAGTACAAACTTATTTGTACAATATCCCCCTTCTCCATAAACCATTAATTAATAATGATCTTATACTTAACCCAGCTTCCTATACATCTATAAATATATATGTAATGATGAATTCAACATAAATAATACAAAAATAATATATATATATATATACACCTACATAACCCAAATATAAATATAAACAAAGTTGTTCTTTAAAACAAAGAAAGAGGAAAATAAATGTTTTTCTTTAATTCTAAAACATATTTCTGAATAATCAGTAGTATGTCAGAAATAAGTAATATATAAATAACACATTTCTTGGCTTGTCTTTAAGCCCAAAACACCACTATCTTTTTCAATATTTTTTTAATAATAAGTAAGTAAAAAGTTTATTCATATAATACTTTTAAAAACAAAGTTTACAAATGCTTTGTCAATGATGCAAAGACATGATAGCCAATAACAATGTTGAGGTGGTCAAAAACGGTAGAGAAAATAAGTCAAGTTTATTTAATGTAGCATTAAGAAAGCGACGTATTGTGTTAGTTAAACAAAAAAAGCTTAAATAATCATTGTGATTTCTTAGTCAAAGTAAAAATGAGGAAACAACTAATTATTTTCTACAAGAAATATTAGGCAAGTAAAAGTGGATAAAAGTGTAAAGTCACTTTAGTTTCAACTTGGTCTTTTAGAGCATCTCAATGGAACAATTGAGAGCTGAACTCCCTGAGCAACAACCCACATATCCTCAATGATTTCTCATTGTACTTTGTATATATATATGATACATCATTTGCAAATATTGTGTTCATAGTAGAGTGTATAAAAATGCATGTTGACTGGGTTGCCACTCAATTTAACAGTTCACATCATCTACTGCTACGTCAATGCCAATGGTGATGGGATGTCCCTTTGTGTGCCATACTCTTCACCCCAGAGTAATAGTCTTTAAGAAGTAATAGAAGTAAAAATGTATCTCTCTCCATATAACTATTTGAAGAATGACTGATGACATGTATTTGGCATCAGTTGTATTTGTTGACTGGACAAATGACTGAATCTTTTGAAATATTTAATTTCTTATTAACAGAATCTGTGGCAAAGTAACATATGGTTTGCAAAGGCAGAAAGATGTAGGTGGTAAAATCTTTAGGAATCAAAAAGGTAATTATACAAAAGGTGACCTATACTTTTATCATTAAATTTAATGACAAAAAATGTGTTTATATCCACACCTATTTTGCAAGTCATTCATACTTTTGATGTTGTGTCTGATTGGGATATTCTCTGCTATACTCTAACATATTTGAAACGAGAAACCCTGATGATTTCACTGAAGAATGGCTGAGGGACCAAATGAGACGTTTTCGCTAAAAATACATTTCCCAGCCTCCCGTCCAATGTCAGCTGGGATTGGCTGTTCCAACCGAAGTCCGAACTGAACATCAAATAAACAAATAACAATTTATATCTTTCGAAAATGAAGCACAAACAGTGATTTACTTCATGGAATAAAAAAATCCTTTTATAGATTTGTCATTTGTATGCAGTGTAAAAGAAAAACAACCAACTTTTCTTACAAAATGTCACCTGCAATTTATTATCGGTTTCAAAGCTGTAACGCATTATGACATGGAAGAATAAAGACATTTTCACACAATTAGACAGAGACCAACAAAGGAATGGTACACAGATACCTAATGGTGCTTGAGATAAATCTAAAAACTGGAGTGAACAGAGATGTCTCCGGTCCAAAGCCAATGTGCATCTCGCTCACAAATTTCATAGGGGTCTTGTGATCACAAGTGTTTTTTGCTGAATATACAGAACACACAGAATTGACCTTATTCACTGTCACTGGCATCACTGGAGTCTGAGCCTCTCTCACTTCCACTTCCACTCTGAGCGCGGGTCTCTGAATGGTCACTGCTGCGGTCGCTGTGTGCTGGAGACGCACTGCGACTCCTGCTACCGCCCCTGTTACCTCCTTCATCCTCACTTCCGCTGCCCTCTTCCCCGCTGCTCCTGGCAGAGTTCTTTGGCTCGTTGTCGTCGTCGTCGTTTTCCTCGCTGTCATCGTCACTGCCGAAGATCTCTTCCTCGTCTCGCATCTCTCTAGTCCTGTCCTCGCCGCTTTCACTTCCACTGCCGCTAGCTTTCCTCTTTCTCTTCTCTCTGTCCTCATTGTCATCTACATCCCTCTGTTTCGGCACTTCCTCCTCCCTCTCAGATTCACTACCAGAGTTATCTGCTTCACTGCCGCTGCCTTTCTCTTTGTCATCACCTAGACAAAACAATGCAAACACCACACAGCAAAGATGGTGAGTGAATTAGCAGAAACATTGACATTACCATAGTATAGTGGTAGACAACACAGTAAAAAAGTCCTGAGAACTACAGAGAGAACATAAAAAAACTGACCGGAGTCCTGCATGTCTTTGTCCATGTCCTCTTCTTCATCTTCTGGCTCATGGTTCTCCAGCTGAGCTTTACGTGCTTCCTGAGAATCATAACAAGGGGATCATCAAGGATCAATAAAAAAAAAAAGCAAGGCCATTACCGTTAAAGCTATATTTCAAATAAATCATTTTTATGCTGAGTCTTACTGAAAAGCATTGTTAAATGTGAATTAATATATATACAACTTCATTATCTAAATATTAATATGGCATTTACACACAACCTCCCATATCAGTCCCACTGCTGTATTAATAAACTTCACACCTTTAACCTATGATACAACCTGTCCAATTATCCTATACTTTACTGTTATATCTTTAAGAACCACAACACACAAACGAATGTCCAGTGTGTTGTAAATAATTCAACTTCAGATGCATCATTACGTGTTCCAAGCCTTAAAAACAACTTGAAAGTGTATTGTCGATAAAATGAAGAGGAAAATGACAAGCACACTCACCTGAGCCTCAAGCTCTTTCTCGTTCATGTCTCTGTGCTTACAAACCAGCACAGCGTTTGTGGTCGACTGTGCTCCAGCCTTAGCTCTTCTCTTGCTCAGACGCACCCTGCAGGAGAGAAGACAGGCTGTCAGACGGCCTTCGAAAGCTCCATACATCATTGATAGTAGCGAGTTTGTTTTGTGTGTTACGATTTGAAATCAAACTTTCTAGAGCAAAGCAACAGACACTTCTACGTGTACTTGTTTGATCTAAACACACCAGCTGCATGTATCACTACAGAAAAAATATTTCCGTTTTATCTTGTTGAGGTGCAAGAAAAAACTCTTCTCCAATCAATGATTTACCTCGTCTCAAGCTCATTGTAGTAAACACCATCTCCATCTCTGAAGATAAAGAAGTAATTCTCCTCATAACCCTTGCTGGCTTTGTTCTTGACGTTCCAGTTGTACTCCCTGGCAATCTTGTAATCATATCTGAAACAAGGAAAATCACATACATTTTTTTAGACAGGCTAAAGACAATTCACAAGGTTATTTTTAAATGTATAAAAAAAAGATCCAGGATTTGCCTGATGCATCATCATTACTTACAGATCCTCAGGCGAGTAATCCACGCCCTCATCACAGTCTCTCTTGCGCTTGCGAAGTGTGTCTTCATTGGGCAGGAAGTAAGCCACAAATTGATTTCCTTCCTCATCCATCATACCTCTGTATTCAAGAGACAAGAAATGCACATTATTATTTCAGAAATCTTTTTTTTTGTCGAATGACAGGTCCACACAAAGGATATTTTGTAGGCACCTGATCATGGCCTGAGACATCATTTCCACTCCTGCTGGTGCTGACATGTCTTTAGGTGCAGGATCAGAGTCGAAGATGACCTGAGCACATGGATTGATCCACATCTGAGGAGAGAGAATGCATAAACAATATTAATGAAGCACATAAGAGTGCCCAGTGTCAGTTTCATACATTTCCCCCTCACAACACAGCCCCCTGCCACAGTGCATATGGCATTCAATTTGAAAGCATCCACACAGACTAACAGTCAATAAACTGTCTTTTAAGAAGCTGGCTCACCTTGAAGTCAGGGAACACAGGTAGAATCTCCACAGGAGTGACTCTGGGTTTACTGTAGTGCTGCGCAATCTGGGGAGAAACAGCAACAACATGTTGACAAACCATAGCTTTTTAATTACCTACCCATACATGTTGACCACTTTGGGTAATCAGCTGACCATTCCAAACAGTTTTTCTACTGTACAGAGCAGCTCCACAGCAAAAGCTTTTGAGGAAGATGTCTTATTCATCCCAATATTTGCAATTTGCAGATATTGTTGCACAATCCCTATCAGTGGAGTTGCAAACTCTCCGAGTCTTTCAACACCCAGTTTGAAACTTCTTTCCACACTCTTAATGTTGCTGGAGGTATACAGGATTTAAAAAGGATTTAGCCAGCCTCAGAATATCCTCACTTACAGATTTCTGTGCATCCTCAAACGTCTTCTCAATGGCAGAAATCTGGCTGTCTCTGTCCTTGTAGATCTCTTCTTCTGTAAACTGTTGTTTGACAGACACACCGATCCTAAACACAACACATATCAAGATTAAATACACCGAATCATAATGTACATCTTTCTATTTTTAAGTGGGTCTGAGGTAAAAAGCAATAAATTACTTACTTGACTTCCACTTTCTCATTGGAAACTCCATATCTGTTGAACTCTGTAGAAATATACTCTGTCTTTCTCATCCATGGGACCACTTTGGCATGCTGCTGTGACCTTTGAGAATAGAAAAACAGTAAACCAAAAGTCTCCACATAAATTTACAATATTGCCATGGTGCCAATTAAGTAGACTTACCTCTTCGAACTGGATGGAGCCTGGATGTCCTCTTCCAAGAGTTTTTCATCCGCGGGATCCAACAATACTATCAATGTAAAAGATTGGTTCAGTCTATACACACACACACATTTGATTTTTAAGTCTTCCGGTAAGATTTTGGATTTGTGATCACAACTGAAGACTTACTGTTGGGGTCGATGCGGTATGTGTCTGGGTTGATGAGATCAATGGTGACCCCGAGGTCTGGCTCAGTCAGGAGCTCATGCTTGTGTTGCTTCTCTAGAGAAGTGGCTTTATACTGTACGAACCTGCCATAGCAAACAAACAAATGAAGGGATGTGTTTAAGACCTCATTCAGACCTAGTATTTACATCTGTCCTTTATCCTACCACAGGTGGACAACAGGTGTGAACGCACCCAATGCATCCTGAATGTGTCTTGAGATCTGATCAGTCAGACCACATTCGGTGATCTGGTCACATGTGGCCCAATTATTTTCGCTGTGTGAAAAGGAACACCTGCTCAGCTAATGTCTCTGACCCAGTACTACTCACTACTACTATTACTACTACTACTGCTACTACTACCTACTACTACTACTCCTACCTACAACTCAGCCCTTCCTGACTATCTCCCCTCGTCCAGCTCCCATGCTGACACACAAACACATCTGTATACTCAGACAGCATAAAACTGTGTCATTTGACCATTACAGATGGGAATAATTTACATGTTTATTTGCATATAGAGCAGGGGAAGTGAGATCAATAAAGCTCACAGGAGACACATGCAGGACACAGTTTTTCGCTGATTGCGAACTTACAAACTTAAAGCTGACCACTGGTGATCAAATCTCACAGGACAGATATTAACACCAGGTCTGGACACGGCCTAAATGTTAAATTCATTCCCCCAATTGTTTTCCTTGGGTGAATGTGGAGTGATGATTGACTGTAGTTACCTGTGCTGATCAAACGGGTATGTAATGAATTTCGGATCAAAAGGGATGTCGGGCAAGCTGTTGCAGTACTTCACGCGACACACGACTCCTGACCTGTCGTGGGCAGAAGGAGAGTTGTGGTTAGCCAGTCGTTTGCCCACGCTTCACATTTTTCACGTCACTGTACATGATGGCAAATACAAAAACAGTGTCGAATCCACTCACCTCTCTGGGACAGTTCTGTGTGACGACGGTCTGCTGAGAGAGAAAACAGCCACATGTGAGATCTGCAGCCAGCATCACAACCTACTGCTGGATCAAAACATGTCAGAGTCTTCTGTTCACGTTAAATCCCAGATGTTTGTTCCGTCAGTTAGCACTCAGACCGGCTAACCGTGGCTAGCTTAAACTAACTATACCTATCACTAACATAAAGTCAGCCATTTTATTTGAATCCAATGTAAAACAGTACAATGGCAGTAAATTGTACTCTGAAGGTAACTAACGTGACTGGTAGCTAACGGGTTAGCTTGGGTTAAGTTGACATTGCGCATGCTTGTTTATCTCGCTAACTAGCATTTGTTGGGTAACATTGCGCACAAACAAACACACGCCACAGACTCCAGGCTGATTTAGGTTTGATAATAAATTGAATCGTGAACCGAAGACAGCCGACTTGTAAAAGCGTGTTGAACTGACCTGTGTCCGTCTTCTCGTTGAGCTTGTGTTTGAATCGTTGGAGCCATTTTGTAAATAACAAAGTGCTCCAAACTGAAAACAAACTTCTCTGCTTGCACAGATAATCAACACAAACACGCCTGATCTCAAACAAAATACTCGATCCGAGTCAATCTTAAACTCCGCCGCTAAATTCCCCCTCGATCATAATGCATCTTAATTCAGTCCTGGAAGAACAGGAAGACCCACGGTTCCGAACACGGATCTGGATTTTAGAGAACGCCACCTACTGGTCCGGCATGTGAAGCATTGTTGTGTGAGTTCTTCTTCTTCTTGGATTTGGCAGACGAGACGCTACAATGGCGTGTTGCTGCCCTCTACGCTTTATTGTCAGTGCTCTTTATGATTATTCACATGGGTTTATATCGTCCAATGTTATGCAGATAGTCGGTTTCTTCATTCTGGTCCAATCGTGCAGGTTTAGCAGGTTGCACAGATTAAAAACTATTCCTCCAGTTGTTCCCTGGTCTCTGAGTATTTGTCTTGTTTCTTGCATTGGATGAGGATATGTTTTCCTGTTTCTGAGTCTCCACGCTCACATTTACCATCCAGGTGTTTTCCAATCAGAGCCATGTATTCTATTCTATTCTTTCCCCGTGGGCAGCCTTCTTGACTAATGAATACAAATCTTCATTCCCCTCTATGCCTGTTTGTATAAATAAAAACTATCTCACACTCTGCTTGATCAATTACTGTGGTCTGGCCTTGGATTGGAGTCTTTTATTGTAGTTAAGGCTGCTGCTGAGTCACTGCATGACTCAGCATACAAATTAATTATCATCATAATTTCTGCTGTGAATACTGACATCTGATCAGAAATCTGGAGTCCATTTTTAATTCCTAACCGTGTTGTGTATTCACCAAAAACATGCCTTTAAAAATACTTTTGTCTCAGTTACAATAAGAGACCAAAACTATCAGCTGTGCAAAGCATACGCTTTAATTAAAAGAGAACAAGATGGAATAGAAAAAAAAAGACAGATAATCTTACAGGTTGCAAAACGATACATATTTTTAAGTATTAAAAAAATACTTTTATTTCATTTAATTGATATGACATTGACAAATGATTTCCATGAAATGATTCTGTGGAGGTGAGGACGCTGGGAGAGCATCTTCACCTGTACCAGAGGATCAATCAGCGCAGGTCAGAGCTGTTAGCTGATTGATCTTAAGGTTTAAAAGGCAGCGGCTGAGCTGCCTCACAGGACACTCAGAGACACACAAGGACTGAGACGGACAAAGACAGAGCTGAAAAGCCAAGTTTTGTGTGATTGATGTTAGCTCACGTGTGTGATGGATAATAAAGATGCTGAAAAGTAACTCCTTTGTCTCTGGCGGTGTGGGAGATCCCTGTGGCATGCCACAGATTTCTATTATGGGGTTACACCCTCATCACCACAATTATTTTCCACATATTCACAGATCTATTCAGCACCTCTCAGACATAACATTTCTAGCATCAGATTCACTTCCACAGCTCTCAGTCCTACCTCCTTATATTCATCAGCATATGGAGCTTTTGCACTTGCCATGGAGATGGCTTAGTTATCACCGGAGCTCAGAGTAGAAGACAGACACTTGACATGAGCAAAATCCATTAATAAAAGACCAGATATCTCTGGAAAAATTTAAATTAGACATATTGCAACTTTTAATAATGACGTTTCAAGTTCAAATTATGATCCTCCTGATGCCATTTGATATACTATAGGTGAGCGTTCTTGAAATTAAAACTATAAAATCCTTGGAACAGGAAACATACTCTTCACAATCATCTTTGCTCAAGGTCTTGACTTATGAAAAAGCCAAGTACATGATTCCACCACCAAAACAATAAGCTCCTTGTTCAGAGTGCATCATCGAACATGCACCAAAATATCTGATAACTGTCAGCAACATTCATACGCCTTGTTTGTAACGGACTTACTGCAATCTAATGTTTAAAACACAAATATAGCTCTAGACACTGACAACTGTGGTTGCATAGAACGGTAGTGTGATCAAAATATCATCTTAGTGCAAGTCTTCAAATGGAGTTTAAGAAATGAAAGAACAATGTCATGAACTGAACCTCTGTATTGCATTTTTTTTGACATTATTTTGCTTTCCAGAAAACCTGAAAGTGAAAATGTTACAATCGGTGGAGGTGACACACTAATCATCGTGGATCTTCCTGTACGTAGTTGTGCCTTGGGTCATGCTGCACCTCTCCACCACCTATCTTTTAAAGTGGGCTGACAATGACTTATGTTAGCAAGGGCTGTGCACAGCAGTGTGATATGTTCCTCTGTCACACACAGTAACTGCACAGCCCATTATGTGTCTTCCAGTTGACATCTTGATCTTTTTCTGACTCAGTCTCTATCTGCATCCGGGTGTCTACTATTTGGAGAGAGAAAAGAGATTAGACCTGCAGGCACACACAGCTCAGATTTCAAAATAAAATATTATTATAAACCCAGTTATTTAGGTCAGAGGAAATGTTCATACCTGCTTAACATGTATATCAACTGTCCAGGATCATCTGCAAAAACCCTGCAACATTAAAAGAAGGGGTTCCATTAAAGAATTATGCTCACTAACCCATGAACTGCTCAACAATGATTCCATAATGGACATTGCTCATTAGGTCCTAAGAGTTTTTCCCCTCGATTGGATCATGACAGGACTTAAGGACCCTTAAAGTCTAATTTTGGGCCCTATCAAGGAAGTAGAGATGATGTGTTGCCTTTCAATTTTTCTTTTTCACCTCTGTCAGAGGTAAGTTATTGGAGGGGGAAACAAACACAGATCACAGGCGTCTAACACTGGTAATCTGGTCTAACTTGTGTCACAAAGCTGATTGTCAGCTGGGTTGGTTATCTCCAACCCTAGGCTTTCTTATCCAGCTACAGTTGCATTCGTGTGAAACAGTCAGGCATCTTAATTACAGACCACATTGTTTGCAATGTGAACAAAACATTTCAATTGTTTAAGAGACTGAAAAAGTTGATATCAAATGAAGGGAAATGTGTACACTTTAATCACCTAATAAAATGGAATAAAGCTGTAGAAACACTAGAAATAGCCTAAGAAACTCTAAAGATAAAAACAAGTGTGAGAATTGCTATAAATATCAATTATTACAGAGCAAGTGTTTTCCATAACCACTGAAACACAAATCATACCCATCTCCCCAGTGGTAAAAACCCCGGTCCTGGTAGAACATGGACAGAAACAGCCACACGCTTATTGTCTCCACCCAGAAGATAACGAACAGGAACCATAGCGATGACAGCAGGACTTCACACAACATCCTGGAGCTCTGTGAGGACAACACACACATAGCAGAAACTTTAACTGTATTCTGTGACTAGAAAATATATTCACCTGGGCTCTGGCATTTTCCGTGTCTGAATGCAGGTTGGGTTGGCCGACGAGAGGATAGAAATATGTTATTTATACAATCTCTTTCATGCATCTGGTTTATTGACACATGTTCACGGAAAGCAAATAATAACATCATGTACATGTGACCTGGTCTGATGCTTTCTGTCTTTGTCTACGTCACCTTAAATATGTCCTTCTCCCTCAAATATGTGAGTTAATTATTATTATAGAGTCTATCAATAGATAACATTAGCATTTTCACTTACTCCTATATCACATCACAACAAACACTTCCTGCTTTCCCCTCTCATGTGACTGAACTAACCAATAAGAAGCCAGAAAGGCCTCAGCCTAAGGTAAATGTGAAAGAACAACAGAGGCAGATTGAACACATCATTACTCCTGATGTCATGATGCTAATGTAAATATCTAAATGTGTAAGTATGTAAATAACTGTACACATGTTTAGCAAATTAACATAAGCACACGAATGAACTTAACTTTCAACCTTACATTACTATAATGCTGCCATGGATTTATGTAAACAGGATACCTTAATGCTTTGTACAGAGAACACGATATCCAATGCTCCAACGTGTCTATTGTAATTTAAACCAGATGTTTCAAACACTTTGCTAACACCCACTTCTGTGTTTGCATTACTGCTGGTAGAGGAAAGTTAGCAAATCAGTGTCCAGCCATTCCAGCTAGATGTCGACGTTTAGTCCATCGACAACACGTAACTTATCAATTATCACCGACGGTGTTGAATGAAAGGTCAAATAATCCGGTGATAATTTATCATGCGAGTTAAAGTCGACCTGCAAGTAGCAGTGCTAACCAGCTAGCTAGCTAGCTAACAGCTAATTGCGCTGGATCCTCTTGTGTGTACGTCGGTAGAAGAATCGCTGCATGTTGTTTTGAACATTATTATTGTTCACGTTTAAACATTTAACCAACGCATCGCTAAAGGAACGGTTTCAGAGTTTGAAGCGACACGATTAGAGCAGATGAAAACACTGGTGCTAAATCCGATTGTTCAGAAACATCCACATCGTTGTCGCCACAGAGTAAGTACCGTTAAATAAAAGCTCGATTCCTCTTTACTCACTCAAATCAAAGACTGTCGAGACAACATTCCTCCTGCACGCTGCCTCAGGCCAAACATTCACTGTTGTTTACAAAGATCATCACAAGTCACGTTGCGCGTGTTTCCGCTTCTGGGACCTGAGGGTGAAAAGCTCTGGTCCGCGGCCCCTCAGAGGTCCTGACACGTCTCCTCTGCAGCCACAGACTGAAGCTGCTTTCACTCAACTCCAGATAATCTGCTGAGGTTCTTCAGAGGGACTTTAATCCGAGATCTCAAATATAAAGGTTAAGGTGCTCTTTGACATCTACTTTCTCACCACGTTCTGTACTTTTTGCCCAATCCCCATTTGACTTACTAAAGGTGAGTGTTAAAAATATAAAATCCTTGAACAAGTAATTAACTCTTCACAATCATCTTTGCTCTAGGTCCCAATTTTTCATGAAAAAAACAGAGTACATGATTCCACCACCAAAACAATAAGCTCCTTGTTCAGAGTGCATCATCGAACATGCACCAAAATATCTGAACTGTCAGCAACATTCATACGCCTCATTTATAACAGATTTACTGCAATCTGATGTTATAGCTGCTACAAATATAGCTGCAGACAGTTACAACCGTTGCTTAAAACGGTAGCGCGACCAAAATATAATCTCAGTGGAAGTCTTTAAATAGAGTTTAAGAAATGAAAGAACAATGTCATGTACTCAACCTTTGTATTCCATTTTCTGCGACATTATTTTGCTTTCCAGAAAACCTGAAAGTGAAAATATATAAATGTTACATTGGTGGTGACACATTAATCATCGTGGATCTTCCAGTATGTAGTTGTGCCTTTTTATATGTCTGTTTTTAAAAATACATTATTTTTATATTTATAATTGCACGAGCACAACATAGCAAATTCCTGCTTGCCAATAAACCGATTGTGATTCCAACACGTGACAGATGCAAAAATACAAAAAAATCATATGGTTTAAAAAGATGTCAAGATAATTTGTCGTGATAAGAGCCAGCAGAGCGAAACACGTCATCTCAACAGCGTAATGAATATGCTGCCTCCTGCCTCTGCCTGTGGTTCCACCTCAGAGGAAGAACAACAGGAAGAATTTGTTGCTGTTGTGCCGCTGCGTTTTGCATGTGTGGAAGGAAAACAGCTGAGAAAATCCAGGCCCAATTCAACTGGGTTCATCCGCAGGACACGTCTGAAAACGGCTTTTTTGAGAACACCAATGCCCGAGTGGAAGCATTGGGACTTTCTGCAGCATGTGAGAAATCAGCAGATCCTCCAGAGGATTCACAATGAGCGAGTGAGCACCCTGATGATGTTTCTATTATGCAACTGATGCAAAAAAAAAGAAAAGACAACGAAGATGTTAAGAGAGCTTTTGGTGACAAGGACAGACGCCAGTGTTGATGAGCTGTAGACAAAAACATGTAATCTCTGCAGCTCCATCCTGCCTCACCCAAACACTCCCAAGATTTAAGCGGAGCAACTCCTGCTGTTATTGTGCATTTGTGAAAAGCAAAAAACTCTCCAGTCTCCACCAATTGTACGGACATACTCCAGAGTTTCCACTTTATCGTGTATGAAAACTAATGTCGCACATATGAGGTGAAAACACACACACACAGACACAAGGACATTTATACTAAAATTACTTTATTACAGCTGATTTCTGTTCAATATCCCTCTGCCAACACAATAGTAAATATACAAACATAATAGTAAATTTGATCCTATTCTTATTCTGTTTTGTGAATCTTTTTACACAATTTAAACCCACTTTTAGTACTTTACCATCTCTTATGTAACATCTTAATAATCTCTCTGACATTCAACAAGTTCCACCATCTATACATTTTAATACAGGTTATGAGTTGTAGTGGTAATGTGCCAAAGAAGAATACTGACACCTTCAAAGAAATGCATCTCTTTTCATTATTCGCCTGTCACCACATCATCTTTTCAAGCCTTTTGTACTTTGGGCACTAGATGTGAACCAACTTGCTTTTTTTTGTTTCATACATTTCATGCCTTCCGCCCAATACGACCGTGGAGATGAGACAATGCAGTGGTATCTGGGCTTGGCAACTCGGGTATGGCACAGTGTTTGACCATAAAAAGGATCGCCATGTCCAGTTGCTGATTCTCATTCAGTATCCCATATGCTTTCAGTCAGTAGGACAAAATTTGACATCAAAGTTTAAGTAAAAAAACAAAACAGTCCAGGTTGGTGGAGAGGGTCTTCTGACTGACAATGATTGACAACGACATCCAGACTCCCTCACACACACAACACTGACAAAAGTGAACAAAACTTGTGCATAAAAACTCAAGGTTGGCATGTGTGGGAGGTTTGTTTGGCCTGACATTGAACGTCTTGGCCTTGGCTTTTGACTGAAGGTCAGATTCCAATAATGATGAGTACATTCCCCTTTCTCAAATATCAATAAATCGGAAAAGAAATGATGAATGAAAGCTGCTGTATTACAGTAGCCGGAACAAGTCACTTGGCATTCAAGAATAAAAATTAGGGATTTTGGGACCAAACCATATATACGATGATATAATGCATATTTTCTAGGTAGGATATATACACACTGTAAACTGAAATCCCACCGGTTTAATAAAGAGACCCCAGCATTTTTGTGTCCTTAAACGTGATAGGAATATATCACAGTATGACATTCAGAAAGAGCCAGCCTCAGAAAAGCTGGCTCTGAATCAGACTGGAATGGGGACAAATTGGTCAAATGTTTGCAGAGTGGGGGGGGGGGGGTTAGAGAACTAATGCTCCGAGACGGCCGGTGACTAAATAAGTGGCATTTAGAGGAGATGACAGCAAAAACATGCATATGAGGCATTTTGATTCTGTACACAAGACCAAGAAAATCTTCCAATGAGCATATATCCAGACAATTCAACACCACTTGAACTTTGAAGTGAAAGGTTTGCTAATATCATCATGTTCTGTCAGTTAAACAGTTAGTTTTACAAATTATTTTCTGAAAAAGTGAGTTTAGTCTTTAAATGTTTTCTTTGATAAAATATACACATATGAACATTTACTTCCAGCGTTGTGATTCAGGGGAGCAAATATCCTTGATATCTATGGATAAGTATCCTTAAAGGCCTTTTCTGTATGGAAATGGGAAACCTCACTTGAACAGGGAGACTAAAGGTTAGAGGGGCACCTGACTTAGCCTGTGATATTTCATCAACCAGAGAGAAGGGAGTTTGTTCGAATAGGAAGAGTTACAGCTATTAAAGGAATACCCAAGTGCTTTTGCCACATTTGTACATGGCCGTTTTTCCAGCGTGTGTGTTGACCCGATTTTACTTCCACACATATACAATCATGCGAGTGTGTGCATGATCTTGTTCCTGGGTTCTGCTGAGATGGTGTAGTATCAATAACATAGGACACTTTAAATCTTAAGTGTTACTTTAATGAGCCCCAACATTTTTTTAACAGTGTTGTTCTTTGTAGCTCCAAGCCTGCTGTCATGGTCATGACAATTCCTTACGCTTCCTGCCTGCACGTTATGAACTCCTCAGTTAACTCACTATAGTTTGTTGAATGGAAACTTGAGCTTAAACATTTCTTAGAAGCATCCTCTCATCCTCTATTCACAGAGGACATAACCCAACAAGTTTACACTCAAACACATTCAAAACACAGTAAAAGCCGCAGAATGGGGGGATGTTGTCACTCATACTGAACTGTCTGCTATCATACACTAGGCTTTTGTCCATATTTGGAAAATTGCTCCTAAAACTCACAGCACAGGTTAGCTCGACTCCATAACTTAACAGCGTACGTACCAACAAAACACACACCCTACAGGTGCTTGGCAAAAAGAAGTCAAACGTTAACTTTACATATATTTAGCTGTATAAAGTGCTTTGAAAAAGGCAGCAGTTTTAAAAAGGCACTAAAAAAAATCAACAGGTCAATATCAGGATTGTTATGAAGGCAAATTTGTCTTCCCCCCCCCCCCCCCCCACAATTACTCAACATGTACGACCACATTCTCTTTAATGCAGGGGTGTCCAAGTTCACCCACATTACAGTTACTGATATGCACAGATAATTTTCTCAAAAATGTAGAAGACTTAAACCAACTCCACTGCATCCACAGTGACCACGAGAACCTGGCAAAAGTATCTGGGACCTCTGGACTTAACTTATCACTTAAAACAGAACAACTAAAACAAACACTGGCACTGACTGACTACAAATGGTTGATGAAATTCTAAGTATTAAACTATAAAAATCTGTGACCAATTCAAATCAATGGTTTAAAAAGGCACTGTAATAGTGTACAATACGCGTGACACAGTTAAGAATAGTTTTTGTGGCTAAATTTGTTAAGTCTCAGTTTGGCTAATGATCAGGATATCAAGTGAATTACGGAATAAAAAGGAGTAATCTAACTTATCACAATGACCATTACAGCAGGCTTGTATCACAACAGCAACACCAAAAAACACAAAGCAATGTTTGCTGCAGTCAGCATCAGAGGATCGGCCAGTGTATAAATTAATATGATTGGGTATTTCAAGGAGGGAGGTACAAAACAAAACTGTGATTGTTTGATACCACACATCTAAGGACATAGTCAACACATGTCAAAGACTTTTTAACAGTGTTTCATGTGCAAAATGAGAGCAATGGCTGTTAATAGCACAACACATATTCCATAAATTCCATAGGAGAGAGCTGTAAATAAAAACAAAATGGGAGTAGTATGTGTTGACACTCAAACTGCTTATATAACATAAAATTTAAGGATCTGTATGTGTGCCGATAAACTGCCGTGTGGACGGGCTGTGCCTTTTCCAGCCCTTTTGACCTGAGCAACATTTATTTAATCACACATCCACATCTGTACATGGGAGAAATGGAGGGGTGTCACAGAGAGAGACAGAGCAGCGGAGCTAAGCACCATGCTGCGTTTGTTGGATTCTACTTCTCCACACTCATTGCTGACTCCACAGCAGAGGGGGGGATCTATGTGTAGGAGAGGTGTGACCCGTTAGATATTTGAGACGTGACACTGGTACTCCTGCTCATGCCCTGCTCACTGCGCGCTCCTGAGGGTGTCCTCCCCATTGCTTGGGGGCTGTTCTGTACACCTCCACTGCTGCGGGACACCAGGACTCCTGCTGACGGGTGGCCCCACGGTGATGGACCCCCACCTCCCTGCCCCCAGCCCTGCTGCATAGATGCCCCTCCTGGACTGGAGTGATAGTGGTGAAGGCTGCCTTGGTGGCTTGACCCTGCGCCTGAACTGCCACTGCCCCAGTGTGGCCCTTGAGAGCTCCCAGATTGGTGGTACTGCTGATGATGATGACTCCAGCTGCCTGAAGCTCCAGGAAAGCTATTGCTGAGGGCCTCAGGGGAGATGTTTGATAGCACCATATTGCTGAAGCCCAGGCGCATACTCTCTGAGTCAAAAGCCTCAATTTCTCGGGCTTGACGTTCCAGCAAGCTCCGGATTCGCTCCAAGCGTTCATTCTGCAAGGACATCATCTCCTCCTCAATCTATGGAAAACAAAAATGGAGTTAACAGCAGCGTCCATAGAGGTATTTTTCACAGCAGACATTTTGACTGGAAACAGTAGAAGTACTTTCAGACATGCAATGGAATCCAAGGTTCCTCCCTATTTTCTCCAGAAAAACCTAAAAGCTGTGAGAGTGTAGTGGGTTTTCAACATTTTAAGCTCAAATCCTGCATATAACTATTGAGTCAGACCAGTGTAAATCACCAAATGAGAATAACCAATGGAAAGCAACCTTCTGTTCCAGCAGGGCCCTCCTGAGTGACACCCTCTGCTCCAGGTCCTTCCTCTCACGCTCATGCTGGGCGTCTGTCTGCATCTTGATTTTGCTCTGGTAGGCGTTGAGAAGCTCCAGCTCCTGCTGTAGCTGCATTCGAAGGGCTTGGCACTGAGCCTCCTGAGTCTCATCCAGACGAAGCTGAAGACAGAGACACTTAACTATAATTCAACCACTAATGATTGGGGAAACATCCTCTAAAAAGGTAGCAAAATGTAATATACCATGTTGCATTCGTGGTCATGGTCTTCCTACACAATATTAAGATTCTACATCCCTGGCAATGCAAGACTTACCGCCTGAGTTGAGAGCATCTCATTGATGGAGTGGTCATACTGCTCTGCCAAGATGGCGAGTTTGCGGTGCTGCTCCTGCTTTAGCCGTTTAAGGACGGCCTTGTGATCTGACTTTGGTGTGTTCTCCAACAGATGGTTCCTTAGTGCTTTGTACTGTCTGGTCTGGATCTTACAGGTGTCCTGGAACTGCTTCTTGATCTGTAGCTCTTTGGACTATGATTGACGACAAAATTATGTATTTCTTCATATTAAAACATCAAACAACACAAATACAAACCCTAATTTTCAATGTTATCATCATAATTGAAATGAGCTTGTCTGTTTGATATTCAACATTTATGAACATGCTCAGAAGCTTATTCTTACCTTGAGGCTCTTGGGCTGCTGGCGAACCTCCATGACATGTTTGCGTCGAAGTTCCCTCTCCCTTCTCTTGTTGTACTCCTGCTGATTGTGGAGTTCTGTCTGGTGCTGCAGCCGGATCAGCTCAGCCCTCGTCTTTTGGATGGTGTTGAGCTGGCGGAACTCCAGCTCTTGCATGGACTCATGGTGGCGGAGAAGCATGGCATGTTCCAAGTCCTTCTGGGTCTGACGCTTGTTTAGTTCCTAATTATTTTTGCAAATGCAAGGACAAACAGCAAAGAGATGAGGAGGGACAAATTCTAGTTTGTTGAGGAACTCATCTATTTTGGCAAAATTTGAAATTCAGCAGTACAATGTAGGACAGAGAACTGACCTCTCGTACTAAGTCCTGTTCAACATTGTGGCGAGCAATCAAGATCCTCCTTTTGAACCTGCGGCACTCCAGGTCAAGGTACTGTCTCTGTCTGCGCTGTAAATTGGCCTCCTCCTCTGCTTGGAAGTGTTGGAAGTTTTCTTTCTGCTTGGACAGCCACTCCTGTTTTTCTTTTTTGGGTGTTGACTGGTTTTCATTCAGCTCCTAAAGGGAAGACAAAATAAAGGTCACTGATAGAACTGTCTTCAAAGAACTGATTGGTGTTTATTTACTATCAGTAAGTTAGCTGAAAGGCATGCTTACACAGGGCACTATAAGAAGCAAGGAATCAAACAGTCTTCCTACCTCCTTCAGCTGCTCCTTGCGAAGTTTGTATTCCCGTTTTTGGGATTCAAGGAAGCTGTTGAGTTCTTTCTTCTGCTGACTCTGAATATGCTGTTGGAACTTCTTTTCATCATTGCTAACAGTTTTTGCCTGTTTGAGAAATGCATATATTCAATCAACTTGATCTATGTTTAGAATGAGTCACAGCAAATGACAAATTTTAGTGAACGCATAAATAAGCTGAACAAATACATCTTTCTCCATCGATGCCTGGTGCTTCTTGATAAGTTTCTCCATCTCCTGGGCAAAGCTGTTCCTCTGATTCTCCAGCTCCTTGTCCAGTCGGAGTCTGTGCTCATCCATCTCAGCATTTAGCTTGTTTTCCAGAGCCATCAGCTGCTTCTGGTGCTGCCGCCTCATGCGCTTGTAGCCCAATATCTGCTCCCTTAACTCAGAATCCTGCTCGTGCTCTTTAATCTGGCGAGTGAGCTGGCAAAAATAAGACAAAGATTTTGTTTACATGTTGCTAGTTGTGAGGAGTGAGTTTGTGAGAGAACATAAGAGAGCAACAATATGTATTTCATCCAAGTCTATCCAAACGTATAAATGTTTCAAGCTGGATCATGGTACCGCTTCTCATTCTCACTTTCAAGGCTTACAGCATTCAATGACTACAAAAGATTTTTAACAACCCATTGATAATCAAAATCTCCAGTGGGTGTGAGCATTTATTTCAGTTATCAAGCAGTTACTTTAACCATCTTCTCATTTAACTTGGAATTTTCATGATTGTGTTTTTACCACTGAGGCTGTACGTATTGTGGCAAAGTGCTCGCGGTTTCGTTTTGGCCGTGGAGTTTGTGCAGGTGGCGACTGTTGCTCAGTTGGCCGGGTGTGAGGTTCAGACTCTTGATTATTCGTCTCTTCTTCCTGAAGGGGACACAAAAAGCACAAGAGGAACAATAAATTAAAATATAAACAACTACTATAACCAATTTTAAACACTCTATACAACATACATTACTTCAGAAGAGGCCAGGACCTGAACTTCTTACCGGTTTGAGGTGTATGACTGAGCTGTTGGACATGACTGTGTGGTCTCCCTCCATGTCCACCTCACTTTTGTCATCGCCTGCATCTGTTAGACTGTTGACGGAGCTGCTCTGGGAACTGGCACTGATTGACATACTGGGGATTGATTGGTTGCTCCCAACACTGTTCACTGTACCTGTCCTACCCACATTGTGTTCTGGTTCCTAAAAATAGCACACAGAGCAGACAAGGTTACAACAAGGCTCTCTGATAACATGTTTATACACTGTAAAATACAGCCTAGCTAAACTGAAGATGCAGGTTAGAAGAAGTTGAGACAGTCATGTAACAGACCTCCTCTTCATCTTGTGCCTCAGTTGTTGGGCCATTATGGGCTTCCTGGAACAAGATCTTCTTCATTTTACGATACTGCAGATTGTCCAGCTCCCGCACTGCATCCTTTGTCCGATTAATCAGGTCTATTAGAACTGATTCTGGTCGTTCACGCTGGACAAATGCATGCTGGGGGGGACACAGAATACACATCTTGCATCAAAATTCTGAATTCTACTGTGTCTATAAGGGTAAGCCAAGAATCATAACATAACCAAAGGTCTGTCATAGCAATTTTTTAGTTCATACCTTTAATAGCTCCTCAGAGTTGGGCCTATCCTGGGGAAATTTCTGAAGGCAAGAGTCTACAAAGTTTCGGAAATATTCCGTCCTAAAGTTGAGATATGAAATATGGAAAAGTTATACAATTGTTACTTTACTTTGTTGCATTCAGTCTTAATGGTTAAAGAAACAAGAAATCAGTTGTTAAAAATTGTATTCTAAACTTACCATTCACTAGACAGCAGCATGGGGCTCTCATTCTGTGCTATATGGTATAAGGCACTCATTGCATTCATGTTGAACAGTGGAGGTTTCCTCTCAGCTGCAGGTTACACGCGAGTCAGATAAGAAGAAAATTAGAAATGATGAGATGATAAGGAACAACATTATTCAGTAATTAACAGATTAAATGAGCAAAAGTCTAACTGGCTGTGAGATTTTAGTAAAATCATAAAAAAACAATATGTGGATGCAAGCAATACAACAACAGTGACTGTACCTAATTCAATGCAGGTTATTCCCAAAGACCAAATGTCCACCTTTCCATCATACTGACCCTCGTCCATAGCTAGAATGACTTCTGGGGCCATCCTGAGAAAAGAAAAACGCACAGCACAATAAAAATAAGTAAATGGCAATTTAAAAAAAAAAACTCAATTCAAATTCTCTGAGAGGAACCTTAAATATACATATAGAATTTTGTAGCGTACCAATATGGAGTCCCCACAAAGGAGTTGGCAGGACAGGCAATGGAGGCAGAACCAAAATCTGCCAGTTTAACCTGCCCTGGCTCTGTCAGCAAGATGTTTCCTGCTTTGATATCTCTGTCAGACACAGAACAAGAAAATATTAAAGCCCCAAACATTAGACAGTCGGCCTGAGGGGACTTTATGCCAAGCACGCTCCTAAACACCTGAGACACTCACCGGTGGATCAAGTTATGGGAGTGAAGATAAGCCAACCCTTGAAGAGCACCATGGGTAATTGCAGCTATTTCAACTTCTTGCAGAGGTTTCTTGTGAACTGGAGGGGAACATTCACAGACAGTGATGTAAATCCAGAGAGAGGCAACATGGTTTGACTTGAAAAGGGAGTCTTCCCTCTCAGCTTGAAGTCATGCAGCACAAGTTCAAAGGTTTTCAACTCACCTTCCAACAAATCTGAGGCAGAGCCTAGACAATACTCCATAACCAGCTGCAAGGAAATAAAGAGGGGTCTGTGTGAATGCATTTTCTTTTACTTAGCAGTATGTACAACTTTGTGTTTATCATCACTGACACTCATGTTGAATCTTACCCAGGCTGTGTGCTCTCGCAGGTAACATCCTTTGTACTCTATGCTGTTTGGGTGTTGTATGCTCTGCAGAAATTTCACCTCCTTTATTATGTCTTGCCATTTCTGTGAAAAAGGTTAAAAACAGAGCATTATATTAACAACAGACAACTGTAAACACAGTAACAATTTCCTATTAACATGATATAGGTTAGTCAAAGCTATCATACCTCACTGGACTGCTTTCCACTATAGGACATCTTCTTGATGGCCACCACCTCATTTGTCCGCGAATCTCGTGCCTGAGTAGTGAGCACATTACAATTTTAAGGGAATGTCCTCTTCATTTTATAAATGTAGCAATGATAATTTTCTCTGTATTATGTGTCTCTAATGTCTGCAAATTGTTTTTTTGTTTTTTTTATAAAATCAGTTAAATCAGTGATGAAGATCTAATTGCCACAACCATGATGACAACACAATTTGTGGCTGTTACAACAGCTAGCTGAGATAAAAGCCATCAATGCTTTTAACTGCTGAGGCTTAACATCCACATTACAGCAATTACAAAAGCCAAGTCACACCCCCTAAAAAACATCAGATATATAAAATATCACATTATTCTTTTTACTTTTATTTCTACTGTTTGATTGAACTGTAGTTGCCAGCTGGCACATTGAGACAGAGTCACTACAACAGAGCTAGATTTCTAGAATCATTTCGAAATAGGTTGAAATAACTGAAAGGATCTAAGAGGCCTTTGTTGTTTAGCCTTCTCCGATTGGAATGCTGAGGAAAAAAAGATTCACCTAATTTTCAGCATGATAATAACAGTGGAATTTATTTTATCATGCATAGTAATGATGAAGAGATAACAATGGAATTTTTTCATTAACATAACACAACAACTGTATTTGATTAATTGAGCCTGGCATAATTTTTCTGCCCTGAAAGCCCTTGCCTCACTGAAAAGAGTGAGGAGGCTGCATTTTCAGTTCAGGTGTCAGAATGAACATGGCGTTAGACTTGAACTTTATATTGGGAAAAACTCACGAAATATACAGCACCAAAGCTGCCATGTCCGATCTCACGCAGATCCGTGAAGAGCTTTTCTGGGTCCTCCTTGTAGAAGAGTTCAGCTATATCGGGGTCCTTCAGGCTCCCCGCCCGACTGCTGTTGGGCATAATGGGGAGTTGGGGGGCAATGCCGCTGCCGCCAGCAACTATCTGGGTCTGCGACAGCGACTTGAAAGCCCCCACCGATGGCTCATCTGCAGGACAGTGGTCTCATATGTGTTCAGAGCTAAAAGCACAAGGGGAAACAAGACTGAGTACAATGAAAGAAATATAGCAACAGCAGAGTGGTATTACTTAACTCATATATGTGTGTGCCTGATCAAAATGAAATGCCTTTATTATTAATACAAGTTAAATGTGCTCCATCAGTGGTTTCTGGATGTTTTGGAGGAAGATGATCATATTTTCTACCTGAACATGTTATAGTATATGTTATAAGTAATATGCAAATACAAGTTATGTCTTAAAAAAACAAGTCTGTCACTGTTCATGTCTGCAACAGCAGAGTCTATTAACTAAAGCAACAGACGGCGAAAACACTAACTTAACCATGATGTCAGGTGCAAATGTGGAGAATGGGCAGCTGGAAATCCATAAGTAGCAACAGATAAGTCTCCTGTTTCCATAGTAACAGCAAGTACAGTGAGGAAAATAGTGGGCTGTGTCCTAACAACCTCCCCTCACACCTTCAGTGACTGGTGTGTGGACAGATAGATGTGTTGAGGATACAAAGAACCAGCTCGAACAAAGAAACCAAGGTAACAACACACTGCTTCAGTGTTAGATAGATGCCTACATGGAAAGAAAGCATTCCAGTGACAAGACTACTTGTTAAACCTGTAAGTACTTGGTAAACACACATTCTTAAACATACCAAACATTGCCCATGTAACCTTCCTTCAAGTGATCAAGAGTCAGTTCACCAATATCTCTCTCTCACAAACACACAATTAACAACAAAAAAACAAATTCCCAGTGAAGAAGCCAACAGCCACATCTCAATTTAATGCAGATTCCCATTAAAAACTTGATGTACTGGGTACACAATCAAATTTATAATAAGCACCTGTCATTGTGAACTATTTCCCTTGGAATGTAAATAATACTAATAAAAACATTCAAAGGTGCACAACATGAAACAAGCCAAAAGCATCAGCATCATTTAGATACCACTACAGATTTAAAGGAATTATTTTATTTCCCCCTTTAAATTTAACTTGGGTCAACAAATTCACAATCAGGCTGAGATTTTTAATCATTTGTTGCCAATTGAATTGTTTCTTACACAACTTCATTACTGTTATACAGATGTAGACTGTAAAAGATCACTGAGGGAAGTTTACTGAGTACATGCGGCTCAGATGATCTGCTGCAAACAGATGCAGAGCTGACGCTAGAGTCACAAGACTTCTTTCCCAGCCTGGGAGAAACAGCCCCCAGTTGAAGCAGACATCTTTTGTCTCACAACACTGAACAACTCACAATTCCACACAGATGCAGCCACTGCTGTGAAATAAGGCCTCATTACCATGTGGGACTGTGTGCCTCTTTATTGCCATTGTTCAGCACTACATTGTCGCTCTTGAATGAGCTTTGTTGTCATATGTCATGACGGCATTTTCGACCGTGAACACGTGAGCACAAAAGTGAGTGATGACAACTGATACCTTCATAAAAAACACCCTTTGCGTTCCAACTAGCAGACACACACACACAACAAGAATGCAGCAAGACAGGACAACAAAGCTGGAGGGCTGGAATTCCCAATGTATGCCCTCATTGCTACGCATTTCTCAGCATTTCCTGTTCGCACGGCTGTGGGGAGGTAGGACAGGGAGGACAGGGCGCTGGTGAGCAGTTTGACTGATAATTATCTGTGTCTTCGCTTCACAACAATGACATTCATCAGTCATGCAATACAGCTTTGGACACAATGGAATACAGGTTTGAAACGTACATATCATTTGCATGATTTATCATTTGAAGCCATCAGCGATGTAGGTCAGTTCAGTCATTCCCTGAAAAACTGGATCACACTGTGACACCCAATGGTGCTTCCTTTATCTTGTATCACCCATGTCACAAACCAAGTAGTTCACCAAGAGTAAAAGCCAAACCATGGATATGAACATTAATAAAGTGGCTAACAGGCCTAAACAAAGTAGGGACAGGTAGACACATGTTAACACAATAGCCTGAAAAATCCAAAACCACCATTAATTGATCAGAGTTTTGCCTGAGAGCAAACCCACGTTCCACTGTCATTTCTGGGCCAGCAGCCCACCCTTACCTGCTGCGTCTCATCCCACATTACCTGTGGCTGGCTAACACTTCACTGGAGTTACAACACGAGTGGGATTACACGGAGCTCTTAGTGAGGATTTGCTGAAAGTTGTCCCTTTCCCTCAGCTGTTTCAGTTGCTGTCACACACCAAAGTCTAGCTAACACAGATAGACCCAACGACACCCTGAAGCGTGCGCACACAAACCCCACCGGACCAACGTTGACTGGAAGTGTTAGCCACACAGCAAAAGTTGACGCTAGCTAAGCTAAGTTACGTGTCATATGATGAAGCAACCCGGGCAACACGCACACAACGCGGGGACATCGATGACCGAGCAAATCGCGTGGAGTTAAACCGATCTCATGAGCTATTTCACCCGAAACTGCCACATTAGCAGGCTAACCTGTGCGATGTTTGCTAAGTTAGCTTAGCCAGTTAGCTGAAACTCACCCTCCCTTGACAGGCCAGGTTTCAGCGCCTCGGATAATGTCGTTAATTCAAGACAGTTCGGGATTCTGAAAGTCTTCCTCCCGTTTCATCCCCGCTGCGACTCACGCTGGATCCTTTGCGGGGTTTCGGACGCTGTCAGTCGACTACAGCGCACAGAGTCGTTAATTATCACAGCTTAAAAAAAAAAAAAAAAAGATCCCCACCCTTGAAGTATCTGGGGAGCCAGAGTAGTCGAGTCCCACTCCCAGGCAGGTCCAAAGATGGCTGCCGAGCGCTCCGCCGCCTCCCTTCGTGGAAACACGTCTGGGAGAATGTGAGGGAAGTTCAAACCGCTCAGAAACACCCATAAACAGGGCGAGAGAGTATCCGCGGCGTCTTTGTGAAGCGAGGTTAGTTGAAGCTAGCACGCCGCCATGTTAACGTAGTTGTTTAGATTTGCTGTAACTCCGCTCCACTGTCCGTCCTCCCTCCACATTCTGTGAACAGCAGTTCCGCCCTGACTGTGGCAGTAAACTCTCTCTGACCCAACATCCAGAGGCGGAGACACCGGACTATCATTTCAAAAACACTTCAACTCTGTTTAAAACTCAATGCTCAACTCTTACTAAGGTTATTTTATTCACCTGTAATCTCTCGCCATCATATTTATTTTTGACTAAACATGGAATATGTGATATAAAACCATTTTACCTTTCAAAACGATAAACACTTGCCTGTAAACATACTGTTCATAAAAAGCTTGTAAAATAGAATTAAATTCAACTTTATTGCAGAACATAAAAGGTCCACATCTATATAAGAACAATAAAACAAACAACAGCATAAATATGATTGTAGCAGCTCACAAATCCCAAATTATTATCAAGGCATTTGTTTCCAGTGTTTCCAGGAACAAGAGCAATACCTTGTGTCACTGTGTCGAGGCTCAGTTAAAAACTCCACACCCGAAGCTTGATGATGACGGCCTCAAAAACACATGTAATTCATTTATTTAAATATTAATACCATACACATTAGTAATGGCATATTTGTTGAACATATTGTTGAAGACCTAATGTTGGCAAAAAATGAAAATGCAGGTGATGACTTGGCCATCCTTCTCCTCCCACCACCTCCACTGAGTCCCAGGACTGACTGGCCTTCAGTCCGTCCAGTCTCATCCTGCAGTTTAGAGGTTATGAGAGGTCTTCAGGTGCACCCCAAAATACCGTAGGCTCCTCAACAAATAAAGTGTGCTCTGGTCCTTATTAAGTTTTTGTATACGTTTGGTCTGTTATTTGCATGTCTCTTTCTGCCTGTAATGTCCATAATCTATCAACACTGGTCAGTCTGACATGAAATCTTGCATGTGCATGGTTGGTCTCAATTTCTGAAGATGTTGGTTATCAAGCAGCATGGAAAACCATTCCCAACCCTGCAGGACACCGTCACAGCACTGGTTAGCTCCTGCAGTGACATACTAATCCACCCACAGTGTCTGAAGGAGAGGTATCGCAGGCTGTTCCTTCCTGTAGTTGTTATACTGGACAAAGCAACTCTGCTCCCATGCCATGAAATTTAATATAACATGTACAATAAATACCATTAAATTGTATATATTCTGTTGACATTGTATATATATATGACTTTGTAATTCCTTGCATTAATATTGCACTTTTTACTTATTACTTTTCACTATCGTATACTGCTGTCACACTTTAAATTTACCCATCTTATGTTACATTCATCTCCTTAGCCAATATCAGTGATACAAATGAATTTGGTTTTGTATTTGTTTATTGCTTGTGTAAGCATTGAGTGTAAAATTGACTTACAGCTTTGTTTATGAAAATATGTGAAATTTATAGTTACTGGCACTAAATACATCTTGTAACAGATATCACTTTATTTACTTTATCTTGGCAAAAAAAAGCTCCATCAACTTATTTTATTATCCTGCAGTGGTTCATAACACAATTCAAACACTGAAATATTCACAGGATAATACTTCCACGGTCAACACCAGGGAATAATCCAGTACAAGTGTGTGTATTCTACTGTTGGTTCTACTGGAACACAGTGTTATGTGACTCGCCCTGGGGATCCTTGACAGTAGACCTTGTTGTTCAGGGGCCACAGAATGAATCTCAAGGCCTTCCACTGTATTTTCCAGAGGATTCAAAGCAGAAACATCACAAGCATCTCAAACCGCACAACATAACTGATCTTCAGAGACATTTCAATAACATTACATTTCTCCAAATATTGTGAATAAAAGTTTCTGATTGTCTGCAACATTAAAGCTGGGGATCTGAGGCTGAAGTGCAAAAAGGTTACTTACATCATACTTGCAGGCTCCTCCATCAGCAGACAGAGGGTATGCCATTTTCTCCCTTCAGGCAGGGCATGATAGTCAGCTATTGTTTACTAATAGATTCTCTGCTGGTGGGTCTGTGCATGATGTAACAGTGTAAAGAAGAAACCAGCCTTGTAGCCAGCCCCCCTCTATCTGCATGGCAGTCTGCACATTGGGCTTTTTTCACAGAACATGTGAACATGTCAAGGTAGGAAAAGCACAGGTGTAAACAATGACATGAATTGTTGTGACTTCTGAACAAAACCAGGGGTGGGGGGCTTTCCTACCACGATAAAGGCCTTCAACTTGTCTGGCTTTTAACCCAACAAACGGTACAGTTCTGGTTTAGGGCTTTTGGATCTATTTAAAGCATCCTCTTCAGATGATGCCACATGTGACTGTTGCTGCATGAGTTGCACAACTTGGAGCTTCTCCACAATGAATGAAGATTCTGGTGACAGCAGAGAATTTGGCTGTTTCAAGCCCATAATAGCCTCTAACCAAACTGCATAGGAAGCAGAAGAGGTTTAACATGTAACTGCAAATCCATCCATCCATTATCTATACTGTTGATCCTTTGAGGGGCAAGGAGGGAGCCCATCCCAGCTGACATTGGGCGGGAGGTTGGGTACACCCTGGACAGGTCGTCATGTGTATTGCACAGCCAACAGACAACCATTCACACGTCAAAGACAATCTGCATGTCTTTGGACTAAAGGAAGAAGGAGTACCTGGAGAAATCATAAATACTGGGAGATCATGCAAACTCCACACAAAACAAACCCAACCCAGGATTAAAACCAGGAACCTTGCTGTGAGGCTCTTTAATCCCAGTGTAATAAACACTATTTACCCTTGATGCAAATGAATGATTTCCATAATGATAATTTAATGAAATGGAAGTCTTGCTTCATATAACATTTGAATCATAATTACACAACTTATTTTACTTAGAAGTTCCTCTATTTTCTGTCTGTTGAACCAATGATCAAATACATCTTTTTCAGGCTACCAAGAAGAGTCAAAGATCATTGCACTTAATTTACAATGGAAATTGCATAACTAGTATTTTAACTGAAATCCTGGCAATCATTTGATAATCAAAGCAGAAAACTTATTTTTAACTGGTGAGAGCCATGGATAAATCTGCTAAGTAAGTAAGAACTCATATGACAGGAATATTTCATGTCCTGCTAATGGGTGAGATGTGTTTGCAGGTAGTAGCCATAGTATTTATGAATGTATTTAAGCTTCTGGCTTTTGTAAGGCTTCCTAAGTGTATTTAAATAAAATGGGATCCATTAACTAAAATATGCTGCTGTGGTAGGAACCTGTTCTCTGAATGAATAGGTGGAAACTCATGCTCAGTTTTGATTTGAGGTCATTGTATCAGCTCCTTCATTCTCTTTTCATGCCTCTATCTCTTACTCACTCTTTCCAGCAGGTATCCTATGTGTAAACAAAAGCTCCTCACTCTGAAGAAACTTCAGAGTTGCATAGTTAAAGAGGATGAATCATTGGAATGTGCCTTTAAATTGCATTTAATCTCACCCCTTCTTCATAGATCATTAATTAGCAATTATCTTATACTTAACCATCCTCCTATAAATATGTTTATCTGATGTGCTCTGTGTTGTAATAATAGTTATGTAGGAAAATATAAAGCTTTACTTGAGTAACATGGCACTGTGATCCTTGCAATGCTTCCACTGTCTATATGAAGATTAGAGTTTAATTTTCAAATACTGCAAATAACAAGAACCTCAACTTTTCTGTGGTGGGGCACTAAATGGGTTAATTTGGTTTGCACAACACCACCACCTGGGGGAATTGGCACCCCAGGATCTGTAGTTTCAACAGCCTTCTGACAGCAATTACACAAGTTCTTACTGATAAGAGGCAGAGACATGTGTCTTTATCACAAAGAATATTTTATTAACAATTCAAAAATATTTAATAGGGTCTGGAACTGAAAGGGAGACACAACAAGCAAACATTCTTTGCTGCAGATGAGATTAAAATCTAAATTTATAATATGACTCAAATCTCTACAGCAAATCTCTTAAAACTCCAAATGCCAGCCTACAAAACAAAATGGGAATGTGAGCTGAGGCCACATGTGGAGAGGTAGTTAACCAAAGGAGTGCCACCAGTTACTTACCTCAGGTGCCTCACAGCAGAACACAACATAGGTGCACACAACACTCTTATCCCAGTGATCACTCACATGCGATACGTGGGGACCTCAACCGGAGTGCCGGCCCTCCCAGCAGCACTGAAACAAAAACTAATGTAGAAATAAGGAATAGAACCATAAACAATACATCTGTTAATATATCCAATAATGGTGGAACCAAATTGCTCAAACAATTGGAACACATTAGAACCAAACAAAACAACAGATGAAACTAAAACAAAGAAAAACAGAAAACAGGATGATCATGCTGCATAAAGACACATTCAATATGGGGGCCACCATTACTCACCACCTCCACTACGGTCCCTAGGCATGTGCCTCTCAGCCAGGACAATGGGGCACATGCAGGCTGCAATGGAGGCAATCAATTTAGTGAGCACGCCACAGAAAACGAGCCTG